TTATATCTAGGACCATGTGCTAGCCATTTCAGTGTATTAGAGGCATTGCCACTTGAAAATATTATGCTTTGAAACCAATTGATAAAGTTGTTATTATGCTCTTTCATCAACCACCTTTCACCCATTTTGGGGTTTAGGTCCTTTAACATTGCTTTATGCGCATCTATGTAAGGAATAACCTCTTCTGTATTGTTCAAAATATACAAGTGGGTGGTGCTCGACTCAACATGATCTTTTGTTTGAATTCTAATACCACGAGTTTCCTTACCATTTATCCTATCATCATGACAATTTCTAGGTACACCCACAGCCACGACTCTTGCCAAGTAATCTGTACAAAATTCTATGGCTTCTTCTGCAATATACCGCTCAACAATTGAAGCTTTAGGTCTGTATGGATTTTTAGAATACCCTTTGAAAATCTTCATGTATCGCTCAATTGGGTACATCCACCTCAAATAAACCGCCCCACAAATTTGTATCTCCCTCACAACATGAACTATTAAGTGAATCATTATATCAAAGAATGATGGAGGAAAATACATCTCCAATTGACATAGCACAACCGCAGCCTCATTTTCCAATTCATCTAGTGATTTTTCATCGATAACCTTGACACAAATAGATTTGAAGAAAAAACACAGTCGCATAATGGCATGTCTAACATTCTTAGGCAATATGTTACGTATAGCCACGGGTAACAACTGTTGCATCAAAACGTGACAATCATGGGACTTTAATCCTACTAACCTCAGATCTTTCATGGATACAAGACTCTTAATATTTGAAGAGTATCCTTGTGGCACTTTAATACTTTGAAGACAATGACATAAACTATTTTTCTCCTTCTTTGACAAGGTGTGACATGCTGGTGGTAGATATGTTCTATTGCCTTCAGGCCTTGGATGTAATTCAGGACGTATTCCCATCTCACAAAGGTCTTGACGTACTTTGATCCCATCCTTTGACTTTCCTTCAATGTTTAACAATGTGTCAATGAGACTATCACATACATTCTTCTCCACATGCATAACATCAATACAATGTCGTACTTCTAAATGGCTCCAATATGGAAGATCAAAGAAAATTGATCTCTTCTTCCACATGTTCTTGTCAGAAGACCTTTTTTGGGTCTTTCCAAATGTAATGCTTATGTTCTTCACTCGATCGTAAACTTGTAAACCAGTCAATGGTTCTCTGGCAATTTCATCCTCCTGTATGCCATTAAAAGCTTTCTTCAGTCTACGGTATGGATGGTCATGCGGGAAAAATTTTCTGTGTCTGTTAGAAACTGTCTTCTTTCCATGTTTCAATTGTAGATAACTGGTCTCTTCTTCACAAATAGTACAAGCATAATGCCCCTTCACATTATACCCACTCAAGTTTCCATAGGCAGGGAAGTCATTAATGGTACAAAATAACATTGCATGCAACTTGAACTTCTGCTGTTGATACCCATCAAATGCATCTACTCCTTCCTCCCATAATAGTGTTAAGTCTTCTATCAAAGGACTCAAATACACATCTATGTCATTTCCTGACTGTCTTGGACCTGCAATCATCATACACAACATGACATATTTGCGCTTCATGCATAACCATGGTGGAAGATTGTAAATCATCAATAAAATGGGCCATGAACTATGGTTACTACTTAAATTTCCAAAAGGATTCATCTCATCTGTTGCTAATCCAAGTCTAAGGTTTCTTGCATCATTACCAAAACTTGGAAATAGACGGTCAAAATTCTTCCATTAGGGAGAGTCAGATGGATGTCGCATTTGCCCATCACATGTTTTTCTCTTTGAATGCCAAATTAAATTTTCAGCATCTTCGTGAGCGTACAACCGCCTAAATCTTAGAATTATTGAAAGATACCATAAAACTTTTGCAGGAGGAAGTTTTTTATCACTCTCCTGACTACAATCATCACCATCATTCGCTTTGTAACGTGATACACCACATGTTGGACATTGGTCTAAAGATGAGAATTATTTCCTGTATAACACACAATCATTAGGGCAAGCATGTATCTTCCTATATTCTAAACCCATCGGACAAAATATCTTCTTCGCTTCATACATACGGTCCGACAATGTGTTATTGTCTGGGAGCATCTCCTTCAAAAGTTGGAGTAATTCATTACAACTTGTATCACTTCAACCAAATTTTGCTTTTAGATTGACCAATCTTAACACAGATGACAACCGTGTGAAAGTTGTACATCCGGGATACAAAGGTGTCTCTGAATCGGTCCTCAATGTATCATATATAGATGCATGTGCTTCAAGAAAGCTCTCTTGACCCACATCACAAAACATGTCCTCTATTCGATCTTCGCAGGTTACATCATCCTCAATAGTTTGTGATACTGTTGGAATATCAACCACTTCACTGTGCCATGTCCATATGGTGTAATTCTTCATCATCCCATCGCAAATAAGATGTTCCCACGTTGTGTCCATCTCTTGTACTCTACCATTTACACAATTAACGCATGGACAATAGATTTTTCCATTCATTTTGGGAGCATTTTTTTCGGCAAATTTCAAAAAGGAGTCAACTCCATTCTCATACTCTTCTGACATGCGACTTGCATTGACCCAAGTTCGATCCATCTAACTACACAAAAGGGCTTGCCTAGATATTGAAGGTTTATTAGAAAAGGTTTAGCAAAACAATACAAAAAAAAAAAGATAGCAAACAAGTTGCTCATAATGATAATTTGATTTCCCACATAAAGAATGGGAAAATAACCCCCAAAACAATCACAGTCAAACGTGTACATCTACATGAAAGAGTATATACCACTTCGAAACCGAAAACAAACTTCCAAAGCCTAAAGGAACCTAGATCAAATCAAACCATACAAAATCATCAATCATCTTTCCACTGTTCATATGTAGGAAATGCTCTAAATAATCCATATTTATGTTAAATGCATGTTGTAAATCATCCATACCACTTAATCTAACCTGATGAGAAGGGGTTTCCTTAAGGAAACGAGGGGTACCACGCACACGGCAACAATGGCGGTGCAACGACGTGTAAGAGAGCGGCGAGGGGCGGCGAGGGGGCGACGTTACCACGTCAAACAAGGAACGAAGAAGAAGCAAAGAACTGAGGTAGCAGAGCACGACAATGAGGACTGAGGTAGCAGAGAACGAAGATGCAGGGCACTAAAGGGTGGGCTGATACAACACGGCGATGAGGACTGAGGTAGCAAAGCACGAAGAAGAAGCAGAAGAACAACTGCGCGCTTTCGATTAGATATATTAGGACATTCGACGTCGGTTATTAAAAAACCCGACGTGGATAATGCTTTCGACGTCGGGTAAATCATGAAACTGACGTTGATTTTGGGATTTCAACGTCGGTTATACATAACCGACGTTAAATTTAAACATTTAACGTCGTCTGTTATCTAACCGACGTTATTTATCTATTTCTACATCGGTTTTGTTATAACCGACGTTAAATATTATTTCTTAATTACAAGTTTGCCACCGCATCTTGTATAACGTCGGTCTTCATAAAAATCGATGTTGAATTATATCGTAGTAAGTGTTTTCTGTAGTAGTGATGTTAAATTCAGTGGATTGAATTAAAACACTATATTTCTTATATAGATGATTAAATGTCTCTATCTTTAACTCGAAACAGAATTATAAATTGAATCAAGTAGGATTTTATTATTATTTAAATTCAATAAATATAATCAAGATTTAATCTAATAAATTGACACAGTTTACATTTCATATATCTTGTGAACACCATTGTTATAAGAAGATCGTGTGTTTGATAATCTCACGTGGAGAACTATCAAATCAACATGAGTTATATTAAAAAAAAGTATGATCCAAATTTTTTTTAAATATTTTCTCTTAAAAATATTATTTTATTATTTTTATTTAAATTATGTATTAAATTATTCTTATTATTATTTAAATTAAGAAAAAATAATTTTAATTTAAATAATTATGATTGAAATATAATTAATATTTAATATTTTATCATATTTTTATTTTATATATATATATATATATATATAATACATTAATAAAAGATATACAAATAAAAGATATTTCATAGAAAGAACGGGTATACCCAACACATTCGATCAACAACATAAAAAATAAATGATAATATCATATTAAAATATATAATTGTAAAATAAATATATGTTTAAAACCATTTATCAAAATAAATTTTCTCTATAATATATATATATATATATATATATATATATATATATATATAAATCCTAAATTCTCATAATTTGATTTTATAATGACTACAATTTTAATCATTTAAAATAATAAATTTAAAATGAATTAATATACTCACCTCTTAATAAAGTATATTAATTTTTTATTCCTAATATATTTTTAAATTAATTACTCTTTTCAAAACTAAAGGTGTGTGATTATGGCTCTCTAACTATTTTAAAATTTGATATATTTATAACATAATAATTTTGATTAATAAATATAAAAACGATGCTTCTAACATTTGCCTTAATATAAAAAAATTGGGGAGGTAGAAATGGAACAAACCAATTTTAAGTTATAAATATTTAAATTTTATATTTTTTACTCATACCTAAATTTTAAATCTTATTGGACGACTCACATCTTTTTGAAAAAATAGTGAACATATATGTAAGTTTGTTTTTATATTATATATATATTTATAATTTAAATTTCTCAAATTTAACGATTATTAGATAAATTTGATAATATTTACTTTTTAAAATACTGGAGAATATTGATAAGATAAAAATTAATATTTTGAATTAATAATTAAAAATAGATTGGTAGGAAGTGAGAGACATGATATGACTGATGGAGGGGACCTGTAACAGATGTGATGAAAGTCCATCTATCTATCAACTTTGAATGCACACCACAACTGCCAAACCTAACTACACTCCACACCTCATAAATCTGGGGTCCATATCTTCATCTCCTCTTTTACCATCACACATACTCTGTATAAAATCAATAATGGCGATGAACCCTATTCACAGAAACAATCAAATCAGAGGCATTAGGATCTCCAATGTTTGCCTCTTTCAGCGGAGGCAAACTCGTCCTTTCCACACCACCTTTTGTTTCTACGCTACCTCTGTCTTTGCCGCGTACCAGGTAGAACCTATGCCAATTTAAGGCTGCACCACTTCTCACTCTCTCTGCTAATATTGCCATCAAACTTACCCTCCACATTAAAGACAAAAATAACTCCACTCATCAAATATTCCTTCCTTTCACCATCCATATGCACCAATTCCAAACTTTAACTTGGTTTTATGGGTTCGTTTCAATTAATATCTGTCTGCTTCATTTTAAGCAAATTAATTATTTCAGCAGTATCTTGTAAAAGGGCTCATTTTACTATAAAATAGCACTGTTTTTTTAGTTGGAGATGCTTGTGATTTTAAATCATGAATATAAAACAACTGATGCATATTTAATATGTTCAGTTAAGTATATATATACTTTCTCAATTTCAAACTGTTTATTTTGTCTTTTAGTATTTAACTCAGTACAATGAGAAAAATAAATAAAATTGACACAAATATTCAATGAAAAAATATATTTTTAATTATATATTTACCAATCCTTTCATTTTTTTTTCATAAGACTTCAGGAATAATTATTTTAAAATTGAGAGGGAAAACAATTGAAGTAATTACTTTTATGCTCTTTCTGAATGTATAATTAGTCAATCTTCAGTGCTAGAATATGCAGTTTTAGTTATTTAAAATAACTTCAAATTATATTCATCTTTTAATTTTATTTTATTTTCAAATTAATTGTTCTCTACCTCATTCAAAATAAAGTATTTATTTAAAGAGTGAAATATCTAACTGAAATTGTTTTATCATGTATATTATCCAAATCCCTCACCATTAAATTGAAATAAATAGAAGTAAATAAGTATTTCGATAAAATTAAACTTTTAAACATTAAAAAAAAAGTTTATATTCTTTTAAGGCAAAATGATTTTCCTTTAGAACATCCAACAATCACGCTTTCATTTGGTCGCTAACTGCACAGTTGAGTGCTGTTTCATCAAAAGTTTAGTTTTAGGTTCCCAAGTCTAATCCCACAACCAAAGAAACAAAGTCACAATAAATTTGGGCTTTCGCCAAACACCAACCCTAATTAACTCACTAGCTCACCATGAAAAGGGTTGTTTGTGATTGAGATTAAGTTTGGATCTTTATTAATTGCCACATAATTAAACTAAAGATGCATGGTAACTAACTGCGACTTGACTGTAGGAGACACAGGTCCATCTTATGAGACACAAAAGTGGGAACCATAAAGATGTGGATGTATGCTACCTTCTACAATGATGCTATTTTTCAGAGCATCATCATCGCTGTCTAGCTAGTTGGTCCCGTTCCACATTTTCAACCAGGGGACCCTTAATCCACTTTAGTCATTATGATTTCCACTTTTAAGCTTTACCAAAAATTTACGGATTGCAAGATTAGTAGTATTATTGGTTCATCGCTTCGCATCTTATGAACACTTAACCCCCTCAAATCAAAAAAGGAAGCCTTTTGGGGCTTATTATTAGGCAATGATCTTTAGAATCGATCAACCATGAAATGGAAGTGCTTAATTAGGATAAGGGTAAGGGTGATTTCATCGTTTCGACCTAACTCCATGACTGCGTAGGAACCAACTAGACTTGTGAACTAATTTTGACAAACTTCAAAGTTGTTATTGATGTTCCAACTCATAAAGGTCATCATCAATGGTGTGTGATGCTGTTATGTTATAGGGAAGGTATATTCACTGTCACGCTCTAACGTGGGCATTTCAGAGATTGAATGGCTTTGAACAACAGGAAGCTAGTGCTAAAGCAAATTATTTGCTGGGAAGAATGTGCAGATCATAGAATTTCTTGCATGTGATGAATTTTGGCTTTTTCATCGGTCATGCGGGAATCATTGACTATGTTTTGGATCCTTTGCTTCAACCACAAGAGAATTCACCCTACCAACTATAGAGGAACATTTCTATGATTATTTTACTTTAACAACTTCGTCATCTGAACGTCGAACTATACTACATTAAATATCAGTGTATGGTTGTATAAAGAATGAAAACAATTTAACCACTATGGTTTCTTAAATAATAACCAGAAATTATTGATCAAACATATATGTTTATGTTAGTCAATTATTAAAATGCCACTTTGTTAACAGGGTTTAATTGTAAGGTGGGAAAAACATAAAACAATACATAACCACCTGGCTTTGGGACTTTAGAGAGGAAACAAACAAACATGTCTGTACACATCAAATGTGGTCGGAGAGAAGTGTTGCTTTGGGTTTGATTTGCTTTTGTTCTTTCTCACGTGAATTTGGTTTAGTGAGTTTATCTAGTTCACTTTATCACTGTCTGTAATGTGACAACAATGAGATGTGAAATCTTCAGCGTCTTTGATTTACTCAGTTAAGAAATTGATCATTATCACTGAAACTCCTAAAACACTTTTGTTTTAGCTTTATTTCTTTTCAGATGGATAAAGACAAGGTGGATGAGAATAAGAGATAATGATGATGAGGTTGTGTTGTATGTTGTGTGTTGTGTGTTGTGTGTGTGCATATACACACATGCCAAGCATGAAGGGCAACACAGTGAAGGTGGTCACGTGAAGGTGGTCGACCCCATAATCCATGATGCATCATCATCCAGCACACTAAAACTCACAAGACACCCCATTTTGCAATAAAAGAGCACAGTGTAAATGGGTCCACCAAAAATCAACTCTCTCACACACACTCACGCCACGATTTGTGTCCCCCCATTTGCACACTTTAGAATTGGAAACACCTTCTGGCGCTGAAAAATGAAAAAGGGGTGAAATAAAGAAAGGAAGAAAGAAGAGATGGCGAGATATATATACTGGAAGAACAGAAGTAAAAGAAAAAGAAAAGATCACGTGCTACACAGCCAAAGGCTTGCAGATCTCACGTGTTGAAAGAATCCTTGTGCTTGTTCCTGTGTTCACGTTAATTTTCATAGCGATATAAAAGAAGGAGCCAGTATTCAAAGAAACTGGCGTGGCTTGAGAAATTAAAGAGTGAGAATAATTCAGGAATTAATGTCATACTGTACGTGTACAGATCAAAATATCTTTCAAATTTGAATATTTGAAAACTGTAGAACTACGTAGTGAAACAATCCTAGGTACATAAAACAAGGTTAAATGTTTGCGTGCCTGATTCAATGGTACTATAAATGATGATCGAAAAAGTCTTCATGATTTTAATTCTTATGAATTTTGTCTCATTGACAAGAGATTTAATTTGTGAAAGGACATGATTTGTGTTGATTGGGAAATAATACGCGTAGTTTCGGCCTGAGAATTGACTTATGATGATTGGGTTTGATATGCAGGCCTAGGATCCATCTAAGGAAAGCCCAGTTTGGTTTAGTATGGGCCTCAGCTTTTTGGTATGACCTTCTTAGGCTCTTTTTCTCTTTCAGTAACAAACCACTGATATTTATTGGTATAATTCTCCAATTAACACTGGATTTTTATTGTGTATAAATAAAGAAAAACTCCAAATTTAATTACAAAATAACATCCACAGTATCTTTTTAGTTATGTCTAAGTTTGGTATAAAAAAATAGTTTATCAATGTTCACTAATTTTTTATTGGTGTAATATTTGGGTAAGAATGTAGAATAACTCATCCCACGTTTAGTCCATCAAATATAACTGTATATCTGTGACTGTGAGCCAATTAATACATGATATTCATATAAAAATATAGCAAATAAATATGTATAATTGTATTTCGTAAAAGTATACAACAAACTCAACATAATGTATATGCTTATAATATCTTAATTTTTTATATTCTCATATTTGAAAATATATTTTTATATAACATGTTAATACATGCATTAATAAATGAATTATAAAATTTTATTTTAGTATAATTATGAGAAAAATAGTAATTAATTACAATTACATATATATTTATAACAAAATATTTTATTTATTTATTCTATTATTAGTATATATATACATATATATAAACTATTACTTATTTGAATAAATATAAAAGTATATATATATATATATAAGAAATTTTTTTATTATCAATTCACATGTTTATTTAACAACTCATTTTATCAATAAAATATATTATGGATCTTGCTTCTTGCACCCTCATAATTTTTTTTTTACCACCATATCCCATATCAAATATCTAAAATATTTTTTTCATAATTTTTTTACCCTAACTTTTTCTTTTATTTGTGTATAGTTTCTGCACCACCATCCCTCAGCACCTTCGTCTTTTGACTATTTGATTTTTTTTTGTGTTATCACTTTCGTTGAAGTAATTGTTAATATTATATATGAATTACATGTTCCTGCACTCAAATTACGCAAACATACCTAAATTATTCAATCTAAAATAATATTGTGAAAATGATGTTGAATTTTATAAGAGCTAATTCAGAAATGTATCTCAAATTGACTGTTCCAGAATGTGTTTCTAGAAAAGCCTTATTGGGAACGTACTTCTGAATTAAGTTTTTTGAAATATATTTTCAAAAACACATTCTTGATTGGGTGTTCCTAAATGTATTTTCATAAATGACAATTCAAAATACATTCTAAAAATGAAGATAAAGATAAATATAAAAATAAAATGAAATTTAATTTATACATTAATTTATAATTTATATATTAAATTATTATATTTTAAATATAATTTAATTTTATTAACAAATTTTAAAATATATTTTATTTTTTTATTTTGTATTTTAAATATATTTTTAATTAATTGATTTTATTATAAATATATTAATTTTTAATTTTTAAAAATTTTAATTAAACCAAAATTCATCTCTCAACCCGTTCGTTTAATATATAATCAGATTAAACTAAAATCTTTTATCAATTTTAAAATATAAATCAGATTGATTAGATTATTACTTTTTTTATCAAGACATACTAGATTATATATGTATAGATGTTTATATGTATTTTTATTATATATTTTTATTTAAATTTATAATATATATATATATATTATTTTAAAATATAAATATTTATTCTTAAAATCATAAATTATTAAAGACAACTAAATATAAAAAATAAAAACTTAAAAAATATATAATTAAAAATAGAGAATAAATCATCTTTTTTATTATTTTTATATATTATTTTATACTTGAATTTTTTTATAAAACATATAATTAAAAAATATATACATAATAAAAATAATAAAAAAATTATTTATTATTACAATTGATGTATTATTATTATTTTTTTAATTTTTGAATTCATCTATTGTATTATTATTTTAAATAAGAAATTCATCTATTATATATTATATTATTATTATTATTATTATATGATGATTGTGTATATATTATTATTCCTATTGTTTTAATGAACATATAATAACTGTCACTACGTATTTCAAGAAAAGTCATGTTACAATGAATGAATGTCACTTTATTATTATGAACAAAGTAACATCAAACTTATTTTAGTCAGAGAGTGTTTCAAGGCATCTCCAATTCTTATTTTAAAAATATAAAATATAAGTTTTAAACTCACGTAGTTTTTTAAAATAATTTATAATTCATTTTATTTTATAGAAGTTCTTATAACAAGTTTTAAATGTTTTCTTTATTTATTTTTTAAATCGTTTGATAAAATAATTAAAAAATAAATAATTTATCATGTTTTTTCAATAAAAAACTATTTAAAATAAATAATATTTTATTTAAATATCTTATCAAATAACTTCTATTAGAAATACTTTTATAAGAACAAGAAAAAATAAATAAATTGTACCTACAAATAGAAAGAGTTTGATTCAGAAGTCTTGAAGAAAATAATTAATGAGGAAATAAATAAATATGAGGGATACAATCACTTAAAATATGTAAGTAGATCTGAAGTTGTTTGATTCAAAGTCTTGACCAAAACAGATAATAAGAGGATACAGTCATACAAAAATGAAAGTAAAAATTTGAAGTTGTTTTTTAAGGAAAAAACATAATCCTTGACAGCAACATTTGTCCAGAGATGTCATCTCAGTTTGATTTTCATACATTTTATCTAGTCTTCTGGAAACCTCGGGAAACATAATTTTCAAAAGATCTATTAAAAGGAACTTGTCAAGTTGAATGATTTATAAGCATTTGTTACAAAAGAATGAAAAAGGTGTTAAAAAGTAGTGAAAGGAAGAACAAAAATTATATTTTAAACCAAACTTAGTATTTTTTATTATCTCTAGAAGTAACTTATAACCTCTTAACAAATTAATTAAAAGATAGAAAAGAAATAAACATGGAGACCAGATTAACAATAAAAATAAAAGAAAGTTGTTGGTTGATTACAAGCTCATAGAGCAATTACAAGAAGGTCTATTTTAGTACAAATTCTTGGCTATTCAAACAAAAAAAACCTAAGTGAATAATGTAGGAGTGGTGATTAACTAAGCAGAGAGGCAAGTGAAAACAATGTTGTCATCGACAAGAGAGGAGAAGCCATTGGAGAGGAAGGAGGGGTTGGATGCATCAGAGACATTGCTGCTACTCTTACGCGACTGTGATTTCGACCGTTTCTCCGAGGTTGCTGCTGCTTTTGCCTGTTTTTCTAGTCTTCGTTTTACGATGTATTCTTCTGGAATGAATACATCCATTGTGGAAATGGTGTGGTGAGAATGAATGAATGATGGTGGGAAAGGTAATTAAGTAGAGAGAAAGAGATACCATGGGCGAATGGACCCATGTTTTGGAATAAACTTGTGGGGACTTTGGAAAAGGAGAAGAAATGAAGAAAAGACAGGTGGAAAATGAACGGGATTTTGTCTTCTGTGTATCAATCTCGCTCTGAATCTCTCGTCACCGCTTCATCCACCAACCTCCTTCGTTACTGTACTTCAGACCAAATATAATCTCATGTCTCTTTTTTTATTTTGTTTTCATTCACATTTTCTTGTTCAATTTCCATGGCGGGATATTTTGTTTTACCATGCAACTATAACAAAAAAGACAAACAGAACAGACATCATTTCATTCAAAAATTTACAATCATTTTATTATTAGAAAATATTAGCAACATCTTTATTATAAATAAATAAATAAATTTTTTATATATTTTTCATTCGTACAGTAATTAAAAATTTTATTAGCATAATAAAATAAGTGCACACTAATCTAATCTACGTGCTTTTTCTGGTTTATATCATTTTATTCATTAAAGTGAATAAGTTGTGTCAATATAAAATTGATATAATTTATTATGTAGTCCATGAATAAATTTTAAGTTATAAAAATAATCTTTATATTATGTTACAAAAATATAAAATGATGATATCAAACTTAAACTTTTTCCATCACAATTTGTAATAATAATAAATTATATATAGTCATCCAATTAATATTAATTGTCAATTAAATAGAATTTTTTTTATAAGCAAATAACATCAATCAATTAAATAGAATTTACATTCATTTTCTTTTTCTATCTTTAAAAAAATTCAAAAGTATGTAAAAGAATAATATACTAAATACACTCATTATTAATCCTTTATTACAAATAATAAAGGCACATCTGTTTACCTTTAATTCAAAACAAATATTAATAATAATTTTTTAAAAATAATGTTATATTAATAAAAGTAATAAAATTTTAAAAATATAAAAATCACATATTGTATATATGCTAAAAATTTATAATAAGTTATAAAACTAAATTATTGGTAGGAACCTTATTTATACAAATTAATAATATATCATTTAATTGAAATACACACTTAAAAATGATATAATTACCTTACTTTAAAATATTTTTGTTATTATTTTAGTTGGCTTTTTTTATTGTATTATTTATGCCTGTAATAAAATAAATAAAAATTAATGATAAAAACTAAAATAAGAGATTAAAAAAATGTTACAAATCTAAAATTAATATTTTTTTTATAAAACTAAAACTATACAAAGTCGATCATTGTTTAGTGTATTAATTTAAGTCTAAATTTATAATATGCTTCACTTATTACATATTAATAAAAATAGTGTTGAGATATAATTCAAAGTAATTTAAATTTAATTTGATATTTTTAATTTTTTTAAGTATCATTCATTGTTGATCTTAATTCATAAAAAATCTGAATGAGCATGATATTTTGTACGAGGTTTCAAAATCAAATCTTATTTAAAGACACACGTTCCTATCACTTATTTAGTAATTTCGGAAGAATATGATAAAATTTAAACAAACATATGAGCAACTTTTAAAAGTAATATTTTTTTTGTATATAAAAAGTTGTAATAAACAAATTGGATATCTTTAAATATAAAACATCAAGTTAATATTTATCTCATATAAATTATGTTTTAAATTTTGATCTAATTTATTAAATTTTTAACCTAATTTTTTTTTTAACTTTTAATATATTAATAAATATGTTTAGTTGAATAGATTTATATATTTTACTTGAAGTAGACATAGGATTAATTTAGTATGCTTACCACTTAAATGAAATTAATTTCAGCTAGTCAAGTGTATTTTATTTTAATGCAAATATCAATTTAAATGAAATAAAAAAATGTATAATATTATTTTATTAACAATATAAAGAGGTAAATATTTATTTTAAAATAAGAAATATATTTTTTACTGTACAATAATTTAAAAAAATATAACGTGATTATGATTAACAGACCAGACATGAGTTATTTTCATCGTCTATAAACATCATTAAAAAAAAAACTTCAAGTTTTTGTTTATAAGAATTCTTTAATTTTATATTTAAATGATTTCATAATTACCGTTTCAATTTTAATTAATATATCACTTTTTTTTGTAAAAATGTGAGATGTGTCTCCCTTTTATTATTTCAAATATAAGAGATATAAATATCAATTACAAAAAAATATTTAAAAATTATAAGACATATAAATGTAATTTTAAAAAATATAAGAAAATAATATTTATTGTAAAAATAAAAAGATATAAGTATTATATATATAGTAGAATAAAATGTATAGAGATAAATGATAAAATTAGAGAATAAGTGTAACACACTTATCAGTGCTACAATGGATGCATATTTTTTCACTTCTTTATCGGCAAAAAAAAATCATTTTTAACAAGTGAAAGAAGTATCAAAAAAGTATACATATAACAGAAACATAAAAACATAACCAAGCACGTATACAAAAATATATAAACATTCTTAACATAGATGTTCCATTGCTACCCCATTCTATAACATATATATTTGCAAGCATACTCTGTAATGAAAATAGAGCATTCATGTTTTTGTCCAATTGGTGAGTAGTGCATCAATCATATTCACTAGCTTATAGCTCTTCCTGAAGAGCCAAGGTTAACACTGTCATCATTCATCCAAAAGCAAAACACAGATAATAAAATAGTAATTTTTTTTCACCATCTGATATGGTTTTCTGCTAAGGGGAAGAGATACCTTGAAATACCAATTAAGTTTATTAATTATTCTTTTCGATTGTTCCATCTCACTTCGCCATAACATCCTCCCTTCATCCATCTCACATGCTATCTAGTTCATTATAATAAGGTTTGGAAAATCTTCCACGGAAGCATTTCAGGTTCTGACCAAAACATTATGCAGAATAAGAATAAAAGATGCGCCCCCAAAAGATATATTTATAGTAAAAATATGTTAGTGGACCCTGCTTTGAAACTTTCTCGTGTCTCTTACATATACCAACGAGACCATCATTGATCCACACCATCATTAAACATTTTGCTATATATTATACGTTTCATAGGGTATATGCAGTGCATGACATATAAGGTTTGATGTTATATAGTAAGTGTGAGGGCTATGGAAGAAACGGGGAAGGCAAAAGAAGTGGAGAATGAAGATACCTCAACCAGTGGCAAACAAGAACGTGCCATTTCTCCACTTGATCTAGGTATGTCTCTCACATGCTTCAACCTTCATCTTCTCATAAACTATTATGTATGCATAAAAGGTTATGATTTCTAATATTATAATCACAATGTCTGATTTTGTAGTGGAAACATAAATGTTTTCACGATGAACATTTCTGTGTCTTACAATTTAAGAAAGGTATTTGCTGATGTTATAGAATATTTAAGTAATATTTTTTTATTAAAATTAATATCTTAATCTGAATATTCCATAATATTATTGATTTTAATATACTTTGAATCTTTTATATTATGCATTTTACTTACTTATTGACTCTTGGTATTGTTAAAAGATTTCTATATTTTGAGAACCAAAAAATCCACTAAAATAATCGAGAAACAACAACGAAAATCAGAGTGGTATAATATATAATGATGATAATATTAAGAATGAATACGTTTTGAATATATATGTTCAAATTATGACATGTTTATATATAGAGGTTAAAAAGGTTACAAGAATTCTTAGTTATTTAAATATTATATTTTATTGGATTTTTTTTTCATTAACTCGTTTTCAATTAATAATATAGTGGTTGATAATTTTGTATGATTAATATTATTCTATATAATTAAAACGATTTAATAATTAAGATAATTATATAACAAAAACAATTTAATAATTAAGATAGTTATTTTCTAAAACTCTTTGAATCCCTCGATAATAAGAACTTCTTTAATATAATAATGAATTGCTCAATTTAAATATTTAAAGGACAATTCAATATTTTTATTTAAAAACAAAGTGCATCGTACTCTAAATTAATTAACATTGAAGAATGATTTATTTTTTATTGTTTACTCCAACAATCACATTCAACCTTTTTCTTTACTTTTGTTATCTAATATCATCAATATGAACCATAATTCATCACTTATGTTAGTAAACAGAGGTGTTTCTTGGTTTTGTTTTTTTCCCTCACGAAACTTTGATTTTTTGTTTATGTTTCTACTTTCTAGGTTTGTTCGCCATATGGGATCAATTTCGTAGTTTCTTAGTGATTTTGACCAAAAAGGTCAAAAAGAAAGGTGAGTTATTTTTAGGTTTTAAGATCGAATTTGATTAAAACAAGGAAAAGAGAGGAGAAGGGACGGAAATATTAAACACGAATAAATCCTTTTACTATTTTATAAACAAATAAAAGTAAATTTATTTACTGTATATAATCTGAATTAAAAAATATTTTCAAAATATAAATATATTTAGTATTTTCAAAATATAGAAAAAAAGGAAGACCAACAGAGAATTTTGTGGGAGGATTTAGAATTATTAAATTAGAATTACCTCTTTTTTTTTTAACTAAATAAATGAGAAGCTTCTTTTCAATCAAAATCTCTCTTTTTTATTTTCTATTTTCTTTCAATGTAAATATTATGTGAAAAAACTCAATTCAGTATTTAGAATTGTTTATTAAACTGATAACTCGATAGCTTCATTTATTATCGATATAAGTATTTATTATTCTTTTAAATATTTTAATTTATACTTATTTAGGATTACCTATTTAGAGTAGAATATTATTACTAAAATACTTTTACGATATCTTAATTAGTATCTTAAAGTTAAACAAGTACTGTCTTTGTCTTTTTCACGTTAGGATTTGGATAATTATTGTTTAAGGTTTAACCACTTTCACAAAAACCAAATTTTGTATTATCTGCATGCAAAATTACATACACAATGCATACATAATTTTTATTTTGCACTTTTTTCTTTCGATTCTACTCTGTTTACTCAACACATCGTGTGATTGTGTTTGCTTATTGAGGTTGCAGTTCCAACTATTACTAGGTCCGATACAAAGGATTCAATTGACAGAGGTTTTTTTTTCTTAAGTTTCTGTAATTTAGTCAATAACATGTAACCATTTCAGAGAAAAGTAACCTATACTTTTTCTCAGATGCTGTGCTTGCAAGGGTTGAATCAGAGAAAAGACTGGCTTTAATTAAGGCATGGGAAGAAAGTGAGAAGACAAAAGCAGAGAACAGGTAAGACAAAAGCATGGCTTTGATTTATTATGTTTTACTAAATTACATACAGTTAAGCATTTTGCATAAAATTTTGGAAGAAAGAAATCGAATTGTGTCTTAAATTTAATTTGAAGTAAAATTCTGATGACATTGGCATGTCTTTAAAGTATAAACGAACTTTGAAAATGGAAATGCAGAGATTCTATTACACTACAAGCTTGATAAATGTTAAACTGTGAAACAGGGCATATAAAAGGCACAATGCTGTTGTGTTGTGGGAGAATAGTAAGAAAGCATCTGCGGAGGCACATCTCAAAAGAATTGAGGTTTTTGATTAATGCATAATGTGAATGTGACTGGTTTCTTGTCTGTTATGTTGTGAAAGACCTTAATGTTACACTGAAACCTTCACAGGAAAAATTGGACAGAAACAAGGCGAAGTGTGTTGAAAAAATGCAAAATAAAGTTGCAGAAATTCACCGAACAGCAGAGGAGAAAAGGGCAATGATAGAAGCGTACAAGGGAGAAGAATTCCTGGAAATAGAGGAGAAAGCTGCAAAATTTCGTACCCGGGGATATTCGCCCAGGAAATTTCTTCCATGCTTCGGCAGTTAAACCATTTTCATTCAAATGCAAAACACCAAATTCTCAATGGCTTTTCTTTTTCTTTTTCTTGTTGTAGGTTTAAAATTTTCTGTGTTTGTTGCTCGTTTGTAATAAGGTTGGTAAGAACGTGAGATTGAATCGTACAAAATGATATACAAATGATTCAAGCATAAAAAATTGGTTCACTAATTTATTATATACATGAATATTTGAATCTTAATTATCAATCAACATTCTCATTTGTCTAATATCTACATTATTGTACAATATGTCCTTAAAAATGGGGGATAAAAATTGGACAAAATGACAGTTAAAGTCATATGGGAATCGAGGCATATTCAAAAAAATAAAAAAGTCTTTTTTAGAGTTTAAAGTTGTAGTAGAAAGTGTCATCTTCCATGAAGGAATTGTTGAGACACATGTTGGTTACATAGATGAAGTTCTATAATTAGAAAACAAAAATTGTGTCGGAGCATAATCCAAAGACAAATAATGTTTCTTGACCACACATTTGATCTTTGTTACTCTAATTTGGCACGGAAGAGGAACTATAAAAGACGTTGTAGGAGGGTTTGATGGAATCAGAATTCCTGTGGTGTTCAAGCTGAACCCTCTTCTACCTATCGTCCTAGCTAGCTTTTTTTCCAGTTCCAAGATTTCATCTAGCTAGTACGACAAATAAGACAGAAAGAAAATAAAACAAAATAAATGGCGTTCAGCGGAACCCAACAGAAATGCAAGGCTTGCGATAAAACTGTTCACTTCGTCGAAAGTTTATCTGCAGATGGGGTCACTTATCACAAAAACTGCTTCAGATGCAGTCATTGCAATGGCCTTCTCGCGGTACGTTGATTTGTTTGGTTTTGCATTTTTGTTTGTATGCGATTAGAATTAGATGAATGGTAATATAAATGTATGTTTTGAGAGGTATTCATAAGAAACACAAATGAAGCATGGTGTCCAATACGTTGTGGTGTTTGTCATTGCAGATAAGCAACTACTCCTCCGGCGATGGAGTTCTATACTGCAAGGCGCATTATGAGCAACTTTTCAGGGAAACAGGCTCCTACCCTAAGAAAAGCCAGTCATGTAAAACCCTTCTCTAACTCTTTTATACATTTATCATAAAAAGTTTTTTGATTTGTGCTAATTTTGGGGCTAATCATAATCTTGTTTCATAATTTTCAATCAGCTGCAAAGCCACCAAACGAGTTGGTATGTATAATTCTACCAAAACAATATCCTTTTTGTATAATTTTTTGTTGCTGAAGTTAATCACTTTTATTATGACTTCAAATAGAGTCAATTTACATGATTTTCATCAATTGTTTGATCAACCACAGAATAGGACACCAAGCAAACTTTCTGCCTTCTTCTCTGGGACTCAGGACAAATGCTCAAAATGCAAGAAAACGGTCTATCCATTGGAAAAGGTTTGGGAGACAAATCACTTGTTCTTTGAGCATTATATATGCTTCTGAGTTCTGAGTTCTGAGTTCTGACACTTAATTTGTTTGGTAATTTTGTGAACGAATTGTGACAGTTGACAGTGGAAGGTGAGTTTTACCACAAATCATGCTTTAGGTGTGCACATGGAGGGTGTTTCCTGACCCCTTCAACCTATGCTGCTCTTGATGGATATCTATACTGCAAGCCACACTTCTCTCAGTTGTTCAAGGAGAAGGGTAGCTACAGTTATCTGTCCAAGCAAGCTTCACTGAAGAGAAGTGAAATGCAACAAGAACAAGAGGCTGTGCCTGTGGAGAATCAGAAAACTGATGCTGATCGCTCAGAGTCAGAGGCTGAGGCAGAGCCAGAGCCAGAGCCAGAGACAAAGGAAGCTGAACAAGCTGATGAGGAACAGCACCCTGAGCAAGATCACTAGCTTGTGGAACATCAATTCTGCTAGGGGGGCTTCACTACCTTTGTGTGTCTGTGTTCAGAAACAGAGATCAGAATAGACCAATAAATTCTATCATCTGAATTGACGATCGATTACCATAGCAATCTCATCTATATATCTTTAATCAATATATATTACTTCTATTTTTGTAAAAAAAAAAAAAAACCGAAAATGATCTTTTTATACCCAAACAACAAAAAACACTGAGTACCATCTTATATCTAAAATCCAATAAACATTTTAATCTTTCTAATGAAAAAAAAGGTTAAAATACTAGTTTATAATATTAATGTAAAATAAGTTGCAATTTCAAGTTATCCAGTCTCATATTATAAATTATAATGTAGTTTATTGAAAAATATTTTATATTATAATTTTTAATTATATACAAATATTTTTCTCTATACATTATTGAAGTAAATCAATTTGCAATAATATAAACACATATAATTTAAAAATATAAAAATAAAAGCTTAATTCCGATATGAAGGAAACGTTATTAACCAATATTGTTTAGAAATAAAAATAAATATTCTATTCTAAATTTTATATTTAAATTATTTAAAATTACAAAAATTACTTAAAATTAAAATAAAATTATTTATACAAATAATTCTAGCTAAATTTTAAATCATTTTCATATACAATAAAATATTTATATTTACCTTTAAATAATTCCTGCTAAAAACTTCGTGCCTTTATCCTCTGTTATAAAAAGATTTATTTTGTTCATTTTCTACTTATCTTCTCTCTTTTATTATTTGTTTAGAATGATGATGGGTAAAAAGTTTCCCACTGCTTCTTTAAATTGTCTATTTATATAGTTGATATCCTTAATCATCCATCTCTTCATTTAATATTAATATAGTTTATATTATAATTTAAATTATTTTATTATTAAGAACTTATATTTTAAAAGAATTATAATTATAATATAATTTATATATTAAAATATTTACTTATTACCACTTGAAATGATAAATAATTTTCTTTCTATACAATACACTTACTAAGATATTTAACTTTAGGTTAAATATAACATAGAATTTCATAATTGAAAGTCGAAAATTTTAATTTTATTTATTTTTAAAATATCTGAGTATTTTTATTTGTGTGGGGGGATAACTCTGTGTTCCGCGTTCGTTGTTACTCGCTGGCCGTTTATCCAAACCCACCACTTTCATCTGTCTCTGACTGTGAGAAGAGAAGAAGCAAAAATTGCTCATACCCTTCTCAATTTTGATGATAACAATAGTAACAGCAATAGCTGTAAATTAAAATTCAGAGCAAAATCAAAATGGGGTCTCTTCCTCTCACCGGTAGCAAACCATTCTTCACCAACCTTAGTTGGTCTTCATCACACATAACAAGAACAAAAACTAGAACCATTTCTCTGAATCAGAGAGTCAAGGTTTTCGCCTCGCAATCACGAAATGAAGAACAAAGAGAACCCCCTAAACTCGACAGTTACGACCTCATGGAACTCAAGTTCGGTCAGTTAATGGGAGAAGACCCCAAGCTCACCCTTGCCAAGGTATCCCTTCTTTTCCAATTATTTATTTATTTATTATTATGGAGTAACAATGTTTCGTATAATACTAATAATATGTTTATAGTTTAATTTTTCTAATTGGTTCCGTGCACCTTTGTTATGCTTGTTGGTTTAGATAATGGGAAGAAAGGCTAACCCGGATGCTTCTTATCTTGACATTGAGAAAGCATTTTATAAGAACGGTGGTAAAGTTGTGGAAGTGGAGGAAGTACCATTTGAGGGCTCTAAAGGAGGGAAGTCATCAAGGAAACTGGATGACCTTGGTTTGGTGCGTCCTGTTCCTGTTAAGGGATTCAATTTCAAATCTGATGATAACAAACCTGCATTGGAGATTAAGAAACCTGTCCGGACTGAAAATGTGGAAGGGAATGTTAGGAAGAGTAGTGTTCCCAATGTTATTCTGAGGAAGCCGACCGTGTTTAAAGATGATGGTGATGAGGACACGATGACTTCAAGGTTAAGAATGAGGCCCAATCTGTCACTGAAAATGCGGGATGAGCAAGTGAAGGATAAGTTTAGCGACATGACACTGTTGAGGAAGCCTGAACCACCGGTTGCCAAGAATACTGATATGGTCGAAGAGTCTTCATCTAATGTGGACCAAGGCAACGATGACGGTGAATTGAAGACGTGGAATGAAGAGGTGGGTGATGAAATTAATGGCTTTACATTGTTAAAGCGGCCACACAGACCAATCCTTGATAAAGAAGGAGAGAAGTTTGGAGAAGTGAAGGCCATGGTACCTAATGATGTAGGTGTAATCTTTATTGCTACTTGCAGCATAAATTTTTTGATGGAGGGCTGGTTTTAACTAATTTCTTGGTTGATTGGTTAGGAATTGGAGCAACATGAGCAGAGACAGCTGGAGTTCCATCAGACGTCAAATGATTTAAGTGAATCATCGGATATAAAGTCAGTTGATTCTAAATTTGAGTTGCCTTTGGATGCTGCACTACAGGCAAAGGCAAGAAGGTATATCAAAATAGTCTAATGTTTAAGTTTATGGTTGCAATTTCAGTTTTGGTTTATTACTTGCATGTATTTTTTTTATAGATTAGATCAATATGTAAAACAAACCTCAAATTTTGTTGAAGAGGGCATTTCCCTTAATCATGGAGATCAAACAAACAATGATGATTCAGGGAATGCTGTTGATGTGTCAGATTTACAGGTCAGATTATATGGATTATCTGAGTTGTTTACTTGTTTTCCCAACTTTCTGTTAACATTTGTGCTCGTTAATTTTGTAGGAAAGTGAAGATGCTGATTGGACCAGGGCTGAAGAATTGATTAAGACCGGAGACAGAGAAGTTGTGGAACTAGTGAGCTGCAATACCAAAGGTTTCCTAGTAAGTACTTAGAAAGCGGTATGATGGACTTTAATTTGTAAGAAAAAAAAAAAGTTTCTTAAGATGTTTTTTTCTTTAAATTCCTTCTGAACTCAATTAAAACATTTTACAGGTATCTTTTGGTTCCTTGGTAGGATTTATGCCATACCGTAATCTTAGTTCCAAGTGGAAGTTCTTAGCTTTTGAGACTTGGTTAAAACAGAAGGGTTTGGATCCATCAATATACAAGCAAAATTCCGGAACTATTACAAGTTTTGATACTGAAATTAAGTATTTTGCTCCTGATTCTCCTCCATTTCCGAACATTGATGTTGAAGAAAAAATTTCACCAGATATGAAATTGGAAGATCTGCTAAGGATTTATGACCACGAGAAAATTAGGTTCTTATCATCATTTATTGGACAGGTTTGGTATTTAAAACATAAATGCACTACCAAAATATATTCCTCAAATTTTATCATGAAAGATGGGACATGAATTTTGTCGATCTTCATTCTAATATACCAATTCCGATGTTTGTGATTTGCAGAAACTTAAAGCAAATGTGTTATTGGCAGACAGAAAAACAAGAAAGCTCATACTCTCTCTAAAACGGAAAGAGAGTGAAGAATCAGTTGAGAAGAGGAGAAATCTCATGGTGAATACTTTACTAAGAATAACATTTCTTGAATTAGCATGGAGCATGTATTGTTGATTTAATGAAATGAAGTGGTCTTCAAATTGTTGTATGTTTCTTATGACAGGCTAGACTTCAGGTTGGGGATATAGTGAAAGGCTGCATCCAGAAAATAACTTACTTTGGAATTTTTGTTGAGGTATATTCATCATTTAATGTCATTATGTCAGTATTATGGTCCTCAGTTTTACTAGCATATTTAGCTTTACATTACTTATTCCAGTGGAAATGCCTTGTTTAGCTTATGCTTGTGCCTATTTATTGAGCTAAGCAGTAGGCACCTGGATACCCTTTGCTCTTGCACGGAATCGGAGTTCAGAGTGGTGGTAAAAAGTTCTAATTACTTATTAATGTAGGTTGAAGGAGTTTCTGCGTTAATTCACCAGTCTCAATTATCTTGGGATGCCACTGTGAACCCAGCATCATATTTTAAGATTGGTCAGGTATTTTCCTACTTGACAGTGTGACAAATTAATAAAGGAGATAATTGATTTTTTCTTCCATGTTCGGGACTTTGCTGTCTATTTTTTATACTTTCAATATAGATGATGACATGAATCAACTATCCAAAGGAGTAAGTTGTTGGGTGGAAGTACAAAGATGATTTGTACTGTATCTGTTTGAACGCTGTTAACTTAGCAGGTGGTACAAATGGAGAAATAAAAGAGAAAGTGAGGGACACCGCTTGTGATCATGGAAAGGGTAGGAAATGGGAATGAGGGACAAGTAATGCTAAGTAGAAAGAGGGAGGTAGTGATGTGTGTGTGTGTGTATATATATATATATATGTATGTATGTATATATATATATATATATGTATGTATATATATATATATATATATGTATGTATGAATGTATATATAGAGAGAGACACACACGATCCAGAAGAGCACATTCCTTATACTGAAAATTTTCTTCAATTTAGAAAAAAAAAAGGATAACAAGGATTGAATTCTTTACCATGTGATTGTAGAGGCTCTTATACCATCTCATGAATCAAATGTTTATGTATGTATGAATGTATATATAGAGAGACACACACACGATCCAGAAGAGCACATTCCTTATACTGAAAATTTTCTTGAATTTAGAAAAAAGAAAAAGAAAAAAAGGATAACAAGGATTAAATTCTTTACCATGTGATTGTAGAGGCTCTTATACCATCTCATGAATCAAATATTTTAAAAGCAGTTATTGGATGAAACTAGATGAGTGGTTTTGTATCTAATAGATGATGTAGCATTGATATTTGAAGTCTTTATATTTTTACTTTGTATTTATTTGAACCTTACTTTTTGTTCCAGGTTCTGGAGGCAAAAGTTCACCAATTAAACTTCGCTCTTGAGCGCATACTTTTATCATTAAAGGAAGTCACGGTAATTTTGTTTATCTATGTTGTTATTTACTTTTCAAAATTTTTCTTCGATCGAGTCGAGCAGTGTTTATACACTCTATGATTTAGCAAATCATTGTCTTCTTATGACAGCCTGATCCGTTAATGAATTCCTTAGAGGCTATAGTTGGGGATCATGACCCCTTAGATGGGAGATTGGAAGCAGCTCAAACAGATGTAGAGGTAATCTTCATATAAGAAAGTAGTCACTTTAATTACCAACAAAATTTATAAAAAAAATAAGCCTATATTATATTGATTAAATAATTGCTTTTCTGTTAGACTTTATTTCTCAGTAGTTTAGCAGCCAACAACAGGCTTCAAATAATTTTATTTACCGGATTGATATTATAGAATAGTAAATCTTTTTGTAAGTTTTTACTTTTACTTTATGTCGATTGTTTCTCTTCTGGTCATTATGTGCATATTTTTTATCCGGGGGAATGGAGCAAAGGTTGACGACCTCTGTAAATTAGAGAATGTTACTGAATAACAAGCTGCCTGATTGAATATGGTCATTTCTGCTGATAGTAATAATAAATTTGTGGGTCATTTATATGGGAATAAGAATTAAATGCAGTTTAACCTACAACTATACGGATGTGGAGTAATGGTAAAGTTGACTTCCTCTAGGTATGGGGATAATAATGGGTTTGATGTTCTTGACATTGCATTAACAAGGGACCATGAGGCTTGTAACCATGCCTTTGGTTAGTTGGGTTTGGACTAGGGTTGGACCCACTTTGAGAGATCAATGTAGGTCTTGAGTCCAGAAATCAGGAGATTCCGTGCATAGATTCGGTGTTGGTATTAGAGCTAGAAAAATGCTTAGGAGGTGTTTGTTTCATGGACTTAATGACTTAATTCAATGAATCAAGCTGAATAGTTTTGTTCTTGATTTCATAGAAGGTTTCAAAATCTAGATTGAATTATTACAATTATGTGGCGGAGAAAGTATAATTCTCGCCATACAATGAACAATAAATAAGTATGTTATGTTTATTTTATTGTGCAATTGGATTATTGGTTTGGCATGAGTAATCATCAAATTTTGCTAATTTTTTAACAGTGGCCTGAAGTGGAATCGCTTGTTGAAGAACTGCAAAAGATTGAGGGAGTCCAGTCTGTTTCCAAAGGCCGTTTTTTCAGAAGCCCCGGTTTAGCACCAACTTTTCAGGTATGTACATATATCCAACCTCGGCATAGTGATCTTTTTTATTTGCTTAATGAGTATTATTAGCTCGGTATTTGTTCTGTCAGAACACGCCATGAGTTACAACTTGCATTATGTATTTTGCATATTGTTTGTGAAAGGCCAACCAAGGTTCAAATTGTTAATCAACCAAATGAATTTTCTTTTGGTTATCTTATTACGTTCTTAGTTGAAAAATGTAATAATCCTGTCTAGTATTCAGGTAGAAGATCGTTCTATCAAAAAAATCCCATTTGGTTCTTGTTGATCTCTTGGCAAGCGTACTAATAGTCAACTGAAGTATAATGATTTTTTAGTAAGAGGATCGATCCCACAAGAAATAAGTTCAATTAAAATAGATAATTTATCTCAATCAATATATATACAAAGATATTCATTTGATTCATAATTGATTATTATAATTTATACTAAGCTCGCATGAAAGTAATACAATGACAGTAGAATGGTTAGAAAAAGTTTAATAAGAGAGCTGAGATTGAATTTCATCTATCTCACTCGCCTGTAATCTGGATGAATATAAATATAAACACATAGTATCTGAAATTACCAATATTAACGCAACACACAATAATCATTTATACTGATTCCTCACGTATAAAATTCAAGATAAGTCCCTTGAATATCAATTCCTCACATATCCAACAAACTGTCCAGTGTTATAAGAAATTGATATACTGAAATATATTCCTAGCATCACAACACATCAAGTATTTTTGTTCATATCAGATTTTCAGAAATACTTCCCAATCAAATCTAAAAATCACACTCAAGAATCTATTGGTTAGATAGAATCAAGCAATAAGAATGTACCAACATTGAATAGATACAGAAAAGTTATATATAAATATCACTAGATTACATCTAAGTTTGAATCGATTATATTCAATCCCAAGAGAAAAGATTAGCCACTCATGGTAACCATTGAAATCCTAAGAACCTCTATGAGTTATAAATTGCAGTGCCCAATTTCTTTCTTTTTTTTCCCCTTTTTACCTTCTGGCTCATGATATATAAATACTACACGAGTTGTCGCCTAAGCGAGAAGGTACTTCATGGTGAAGAAAGGTCCTCTTCACTTGAACTAAAATATTCTCGCTTAAGCAAAAATGACACCCAAAATTGATGACCCTCTGGAAGAATCTCGCTTAGACGAGGTCTGTGTCGCTTAGGTGAGAATGACACAAGAAATGATATTCCTCTGGCCCGCTTTCGTTTAGGCAAGACCACTTTAGCTTGAGCGGGCTGTGGCAGAAATTTCTCTCTTTTTTCTCTATTTCTTGATTTCTTTTTACTTTTTAAGTCCTTTCCTCTTGTCTGAATTGACCTGAAGAATACACAAAATAGGGATCAAATGCTTTCCTTTAAATAAAACTTGGAAATATATGATTAAATTTCATATTTCTTAGATTAGGGAAAATTAATACCAAATAAACACAATTTAAAATAAAAGTGTTAGAATTTCATATGAAATTTTACTGATTTTTGGCACTTATCAGTTTCCTTTATCATTTTTCCTAGATTATGTGATAGCTTGTTCTTGTTTTCACCAGCTGCTAGACTGCAGTCACAGACAGATGCTTTGTTTTCCTAAACCTCTTGTTTATCATTTTACCAGCATTGTTTTTATTAATAGTTTGTTTCCGACACAGTTTAATAATTTTTAGCAAACTCCAGTTCTTGTTTATCTGTATGGAAACCAATATTGTACCAGGTTTATATGGCATCTATCTTTGAGGATCAATACAAGTTACTAGCTCGATCTGGAAACAAAATACAAGAGGTAATGTTAACAATTCTGTTTTAATTTCTAGTTAACAGATTTTTGTTGTATTTGCTTCTTCTAGTCTTATTTCTTTTCTCTATATTGGTCTAAATGTAGATGGTTTACTTATGGAATTCATAGTATAATCTAACCCTACTCAATGTATAATGTTGGGCAGGTGATAGTTCAAAGTTCTTTAGATAAAGAAAGGATGAAATCAGTTGTTATGACGTGTGCAAACAGAGTGGAATAATTGTGGATTGTGACAGTATGATTGTACATTCTTCTGGAGAGTGTAGGCTGCAATTTAAGGAGCATTTCAGGTTAATTTATACATGAGGATTGGTGGAAGGATAACAATTTTATTTCTTGTAAAAAAGTAAAAAGTAGTAACAAAGGGACATTTCTACCTTTTTGGTCGAGGTGTTGGGGGTGAGAGGGAGGGGTTAACGTTAAAGGAGAAATTGTTGACCATCGTGGTCAGTTAAATTAGTTTATTAGACAACTTAATGCATATGTAATAAGAGTTTATATTAATCAATTTTAGTTGCTAAAGTGAAATTGTCATGATTTTAATTAAATTCAACAAAATTATATAAATTTAATAAAAAAACAATACCAAAAAAAAAAAAATCTAATGATTCTACTTGTATTTTTGTTTAACATGGTTACTAGTTTTTTTTTTCCATATTCTTTAAAAACACATTTTATGACAAATCACAAATTCAATGCTTCTCTGATAAGATTTTTTTTGTTCTGTTTTTTATTCCTTCCAATCAAACATAAACAGTGAATGAAGTGGTTTGTTAGGTAATTAAATAAAACAAAAAAGGGAAAAAAATACATTTTTTTCATTTTTTTATCGAGGAGATTCATATTAGACTACCGTTATGATGTGTATTTAAATCGAAATAAAATTGCGCTATATCTTTGTCATATATGGTCAATTGAATAAATTAATAATATTATAAATTAAGTTTTTGTTGGATAATAATGAAAGGATAGACAAATTTTTAATTTTAAAATTATTTAATTTATAATTTTTATATTCCTTGTTAAATTAATTTTTTTCTGTATTTTTTATTAATCAAGTTAATCAACCACTATTGTCATATTTTTGGACCTTATTCACAATAATGAAAACAAAAATCTCAACCTATTCTACCACAGTACTCAAACTTCCTAAACAGCATATGTGTAAGTTCGGTAACATCTTTTTAATGTTACTGATATACTTATATGAAAAGATAAATACTAATAAGCATTTTATAATTTGAAATAATTTCTATTAATATTTATTAATGATATGTCACATTTTAAGTTATTTTGAAATCCTCATTATGATCAAAAATAAAATAATTAATAATGGTACATAATTCAATAGTAAAAAATATGATATTTTAAAAAACAAAATTTGAGTGAAAAAAAAATTCAAAATATAATATGATTGCTTTTTTATTTTTTTGAAGTTACCATTATGGTCTTCCTATTTTAAAAAAACTAATGATTTCAATCTAATCTTCCATTTATTATAAATTTGTATTTTAATTAATTAAATAACTCCTTGATGGTATCAAAAATGAATATGTTAGGTTTAAAATTCAATAGGATAAAAATATTTTTTTTAAAGAAAGAAAATTGAACAGAATTGTAAATTTTCTAAAACAAATTAAAATAATGGAATATATATATATATATATATATATATATATATATATATTGAGAGAAGAATCAAAATTGCGAATAAAAAAATTTAAAGAGAACCAAAGTTATAATTTAATCTAAAAAAATGAATATATGAAATTTCTCTTTTGCAGGAAAAGGAAAATAAAAGTTTGGTAGAAGGAATGCATATTTCTCATATATGGTTTACTTTTTAAAAATAACATTTCCAATCAATAAGCTTTTTTTTTTTTTTACTGAAAAAAAATATTATATTACTTTTATGAATCATATATAATAACGAATTAATTTTGCGATAAAAATAACATATTATCTTCTGATTTCTAAAAAAAGTTATATAAACATTTCCAGCTGTACTTTGTTCTAACCAAACAAATCACATAAAAAAAACATTAATTAAGTTTCTGGATTTATAAATATCAAGAATCGTGATTCCTGGATATGAATTTTTTTATTTTCTAACCTATCATTTCCGTAGAAATATAATAAACAAAATAATGAATGAAAATAGAAAAAAAAAAAGGTAAGAACAAATTGAAAATATATCAACATTTCCTTAAGACCAACTTTTATCATTTTTATTTTATTTCTCTTCTAACAAATAATAATGGTTAATAAGTTAAGAAAAATATTTATAACAGTTAATTTTTTTTATGTTTATTTCAACCTAAATAAGCAAGTGAAATTCAAACTTCTATACTTTAAAAAATAATTTTCACTATTGTCCCACTAAATTATCTTGGTTAGAACATTGATTATGTTACTGCTCAACAAAACTGAATAATACCTTAAAAAGAATAAATTAGAGTGCGTTATTTGCACTTTGTTTCGGATTAAACAAAATGTATTTTGAACAGCATGGGTTTAAGTTGTCCTTGGAATCTGTGACCACAGGTTTGAATTCTCCATAATTACAGACAGCTTTCATTTTTAATTCAAAAAAGAAGACAGCTTTCTTTTTTGGGTCTGGTTTGGGACACTGCTGTGTTGCGTGTCCTGTGTGCCGCATCTTCATCGCACACAATGCACCTGCTTCTTCCTTATGCTTCATCATGTGAATGAAACCCTTTTTCTCCATTCCATTGCTTCCCTTTCATTTTTTTTTTGTTTAGTGAACAATTGTCTTTTTGGTTTTCAGAAATGGTAGTAGCTAAACGGAATTCTTTTGAATAAAGTAAACATTCTAAGATAAACCCAGAATATTCAGACACTTTGAGTTGTTCCTCTGCGGAAGAAAATGGGAATGGGAACTAGCACCTTTGTTACTAGATGGATCAACTTCCTCACCATGGTAATGCTGTTTGATTCCTACTGTGTTTGAGTTTTTCAGTTCAATTTTTTATTTTCATTTCAATTTTTGGGTTTGTTTGTGTTCCATTTTTCTCTTACTTTCACTTTGTCTACTTTCTTGTGCTCACGTTCATTTTGTTGTTGTTTCTTGCATACCCAGCGTTAGTTTTCACTTGAACGTGTTCCAAAGATACGATTTTTTGCTGTCAACTCTGCTGTTATCAGCTACTGCTTCCTTTTCCTAGCCGTTTATTTGTGTACTAATGATGAAAAACAGAACTGAGACTCAAGGGTGTGGGTGTGCTTTATTTCTGTTTATAAATGCTGTTTTTAGTTTTGAAAATGCAACTAAATAATGTTGTTTAAACAAATGGTGGAGGATGCAAGGGTCAAAGCAGAGTGTGTAAATGAGGAAGAGGAAAACAGAAGAAGATGAGAAAACATCTATAGCTGTTTATATTTTTTGATTTTTTTGATTTGTGAAAGGACCATTTTTTGGTAACAATTTTCAAAACTCAATAGATTTTAAATGAGAATCTGATTGTTGACGAGTATGAAAATGTTGTTGAAAACAATTTTTAAACCTAAAAAGTGAGAAGGGAATCAAACAGGCTGTAAGTGTTATTATTAGTATAATTATCTACATTTTTGTGATTTTGTTAATGCTGATTTCTTGTTCACCTTGTGCAGCTTTTGGCCATTTTTGTGATAATTTTTGGAGTGTGGATGAGCACTCATCATGATGGCTGCAGAAAGTCTCTGACTTTGCCTGTGATAGGCCTAGGAGCAGTTATTTTCTTAATGTCAGCTTTGAATTCAAAAAGATTTTGATGCCTTTTTTTTTTTCTTTCGAATACTTTTTGCTAATGCATTGTCTTCTATCATGTTTCTTCGCTGTGCAGATCTGTAGTTGGCTTTTTGGGTGCCCTGAAAAACATCTCCATACTATTATGGGTTGTATCCTTATTTCTTATTAGATACATTAATTTTAAGAGGGTTACATCAGATAATGATAGAAGTAAATTTTGGATTCTGGGTATCATCCTTGACACTGTACTTGCAGTATCTGATCTCGCTGTTCTTTGTCTTGGTGGGAATCCTGGTCTTCACAGTATTGGTGTAAGTATGCATATTGTTTGACAATGCAATTTTGTTACTCATTATCATTTGTCTTTTTACTAAAAATACAGGCTGTCTCTCTCTTATACATACTAGTTGTAAAAAGTCTGCGAGAGTTTGATCTCATCATTTGCATTAACAAGCCTTAACATATTTGTATTGAAGCTTTTCTTTGCTTTGTTGGTCTGTTCATTAAACCGATTAGGACTTATAGGTTGCTCTGTTTATTGAATTTGCTACCTTGGCTGTCCATGATACTGATATGCGAAATGATCCTTTCTTTATTTTTTAGCAGCAGTAAGTTACTTAGAATATACGAAACATATCAGTATCACATCACTAATTTTGAATAAGAAACTGTGGAAACGCCCAAGGCTCATGCAATAGCATATATTTTTGTTTTTAAATAAGGTATGCTGAATGAATTTTTATAACTTAATACATAGGAACGTACACTAAGAACATGTGGTCAAAAGTGAAAAGTAGGGAGGTGTAGGTCGTGGGTTTGAGTTCCCAACTAACAAAATCTAACATATTAAGAACTAAATTTTGTTGATAAAAAGGCATTTTCACTAGCAACTAAGTTTCGAGATAGATGAGTTGATATTTTATGATGGATGTCCTCATTCGTTTGTTCCACTAGGTAACATGAGTGACATTTTAAAGCTTGCATTCTTCTTTAGTATGCTTCACTTTCTCTTTTTGTATGGATACACATTTAGAACTTATGTAACAACATTCTGTCATTGTGTCAGGTTCATCATCACCAACAATGGATCAGGTCATACTGTGACTGGCTTGAGGTAAGGAAGGAGTCAAGTATTTCATTTACGTAGATATTATTATGGTCCTTGATATTTGAAATGGTGACAATTCCATAATATATATAGTGTCTCACTGCATGTGACTGCTTGGTTATAGGAGAAATGGATGTCTGGTTAATGCTTTTTTCTTATTCTAGTTCTTGACAACTTGGTCTGATGTGATGAAAGATGAATGACAGCCTTCTTGTCTGCTCAGGTATAAGGAGTATCAGCTTCAGGATTTTAGTTCTTGGTTTCTCAAGGAGGTAAACACTTTTGTCAACATGGACAACTGTTGGTACACAATAGCACCTCAACATCTAAAAGCTTGAACTTTTTCTTTTTGTTTTTAGTTAAACAATTCTCATAATTGGGAGAGGTTGAAGGTTTGTCTTGTTAAATCTGAAGACTGCAATAACCTATCCAAAAAATATAAGGTATTACTTATACTATTCCATTGAATTTAACTGTGATATCTTCTACACAATCATTTTTTCAAAAACCTGTACCTTTACAATATTCTTGTTATGCAGACTCTTAAACAATATAAATCAGCTAAATTGACGCCAATTGAAGCTGGCTGCTGCCGACCACCTTCTCAGTATGTTCTATTCTCTGGCTGCTTGTTTAATAGCTTACCCAAATGCATTTCAATAGGGTATAGTTTATGTTTTCAGGTAAGAGTATGAGTGTACATGTCTGATATTGTTTTAAGTTGGGGTTTTATGTAACTTAGGTGTGGATATCCTGCTGTAAATGCATCCTACTATGACTTGACCTTTCATCCAGTTAGCCCCAAGAATGACTGCAAGCGCTACAAAAATTCTCGAGCCATCAAATGCTATGATTGTGACTCCTGCAAGTAAGCATGACAATGCTCCGTTTCTGTTTCTCTAGATGAGTAAATAATTGTCTCACTGTCATTGTTTTTCCTCAATCTTGTTCCAGGGCTGGTGTGGCGCAATACATGAAAACCGAGTGGAGAGTTGTTGCTATATTTAATGTTGTTTTATTTGTTGTCTTGGTAAGACAAACATTCTTGCCTTTTTTCTTATATTGCGACAACAATCAGAGAAGGTGTTCAATCCACTTTTGTTTAGTTGTATCAAACATTGAATAAACTTTTCTATAAACATGCATAGGAGAAGAAAGCAAGAATGTAAAGTGTATTGAGTTTCTTTATAAGCCAAAATCAACTTGCATACGTAAACTCACTTCTGGAGAAGTTGAATGAGAAAAAAAAGCCTTTCAACTTAGTTGTTTTAGAAGTTAGTTTTAGTTTACGTGGGAAGCTCAATTCATTTTGCCTTGTTTTCTTGTCTTATGAGTGTTTATAAAAAAATTATTCTAAGAATAATTGAGATTTTATAACAGAAATAAGGTAAGTGAGTTTCTTGAGGTCATTGATGCCTTTGTTTTGTGCAATGCAGTCAATTATATACTTTGTGGGATGCTGTGCGAGACGAAATGCTGCCAGAAGGCATTCTAAAGCTTGAAGATGAAACCAGTGCTTTCTCAATTGTTGAAGATGAAATCAGTGCCGGGGCTAGAGCCAAAACTCGCCAAATTCATATTTGGTTATGGATTGTGAAATCTTTGTGAACACCATGGCTTGAATTGTTAATATCTTTATTGTTATTATTTGATTTGATGTGAATAGAAAATCCAAAATTAGCAAACATTGTTGTGGTTATGATGTGAAAATGTTCAGCAATCTCTTCAAGTCACAGATTAATGTTCAGCAACCTTTTTATGACCAAGATTTTAATTATTGTCACCTCTAGTTAAATTGCTCATTGTTGGTTGATTGCTAATTGTTGAGTAATTCCAACAAAATTAGTTTTAACTGTTAAAAAATGAAAAATAAACACAATCCAACATGATAAGTGAGTGTTGAGGTGCATCAGAGTTTGTTTCTTACACAAGTAAGAAATAAAAATGATGGGTTGATGAGTTTTCACGTTGCCATCATGTATGAATGAAAACCAAAATGAAAAATGAAATGACATCATGGCCCTTTTATAGGCAATTGACAAAAATTTGTTGTAAAAAATGTTAAGAACTTATGCCAATATTGGCTTTTGAAATAGCAGTAAAATTGATTAGATCAAAAGCTGAATGCATATTATCTTCTTCTAACAAATGTAAGAATTTTAATAAGTGTTTTACTGATTTTTCAAATAAGTAAAATACATTGATTGTGAAAATATACCAATATAATAATATTAATTATTATTATATTAATATAATGGGTTCTCAAATTTCATGTATTTTTCACACCAATGCATGCTTTCCAGATAAAATTGCCCAGCGAAAAAAAATCATGTTTAGGATATTTTTTTATCACGAAATTGGTATAAGCTATTCGGTATGCTTTGTGTTGATTTAGGATTTAATCATATTCATTCTAACCCGTTTATCAAAGAAAAAAAAAACAGTTTGGTTTGGTTGCTGAAACCAAAACCCTTGCCGTCGAAACTAAAACCCTTGTCATCGTCGTGCCTGTCTCCAGAGATGTGGGGTTGGATGCTTGGTGAAGGGCGTAGGGTGGTGTGCGAGGTGGCGTGCACCCGCAACTGGGTGGCGCTCCGACACATGGGTGGCGGTCCGAGAACCTTTCCGGGCGGCGTGAACAAGTGGAAGTGGAAGCGCATGCACGAGAAATTCGCCAGGGACAAACAGAAGAGACTCATCGAACAAGAGAAACAGCTCTACGAGGCTCGCATTCGCTCCCACATCCGCTCCGCCCTCTCCCCCGATCACCGCTCCGCCGCCGCTGCCACCCACCGCCCCCTCTCACCTAACGACCACGTCAAAGCCCTCGCCGACCGCTTCCTCAAAGACGGCGCCCAAGATCTCTGGAACACCCGCGACGGTCCCCTGACTCCGAACCCAACACCGACCCAAAACCTTCATTTCCGCCCCAAACATTCTAGGGGATACCGTTCGGTTCCCGAGGTTGGGAACAAACGTGTTGGGGCCCACAAGTATAGGTTTTGGCGGAAGGGTAGTGATGATTCTTCTTCCGATGAGAGCGAGAGTGAGAATGAGAGTGAATTGAGTTTGAAGACGGGTAGTAGTGCTTCCTTGGGGGAGTATGATGTGAAGAGAGAGAAGAGGGTTGTACCTAAGATATCTGAAGAGGTTGAGTTTATTAGACAAGAGCTTAATAAGCGGAAGTTGAAACAGATTGAGGAGCAAGAGACTAAGGAACAACACAGCAATGAAAGCATTCTAAGCAACACAAGGTGTTCTTACTTAGCTATTATGGAATTTCTATTTTAATGGTATTGATAGATGCATGCAAGGTTAAGTTGCAGTTTAATCGTTAGGATTGATTTTGCTGGAATTTACGGATAAATTTCTTCGATATGGCTACAATTGCGGTTTCATAGACCTTGATGTCGGGGCCAAAAGCAGACCGTTTTTAAAACCTGGGATGGATATGAAATGTTTAGTTATTTTGTGTGACAGCAGTATTGCAATGGGTGATTTAGATGTTTTGTTTTTGTAGATTTGATGAGTGCGGTATATCACCGAATACTGTCAAGGCACTTTCTTCAGCTGGTTATGTTCATTTGACCCGGGTACAAGAGGCTAGCCTCTCTATTTGCCTTGAGGGTATGTTGCCCTTTTCTTTCAGATTTGATTTTCGCAGCTAGGTGGTCAATCTAATTTCTATTTTCCATTTATTGTTGTTGTTGTGATTATATCTTGTTCATCTTATGAAAGTTGTGTATTGCAAATTTTCATGCATTATAGTACTTTTCTCAACTTGCACATCGTTTGGGTTCAGTTTGAGTCTTTGGTTGTTATTGTAAGATGGCTATTGGATTTGATTTCAATAATGTTTTTAGTTATGTTGCACTGCAGGTCTGGATGCTTTAGTCAAAGCTAAAACTGGCACTGGAAAAAGTGTAGCTTTTTTGGTACACCCGACATCTTTAATGTTCTTTTATCACACTGCATTCTGTCTTGAAAATTTTTGCCTATCAATGATGTTGAGTGCAAACAGCTTCCTGCTATTGAAACAGTTCTGAAAGCTGCGAGTAGCAATAAGTCTGAACGGGTTGCCCCAATATATGTTCTTGTTCTCTGCCCTACCAGAGAACTTGCTAGTCAAATTGCTGCTGTAGCAAAAGTTTTACTGAAATATCACGATGGCATTGGGGTGCAGACTCTTGTTGGAGGCGTACGATTTAAAGTTGACCTAAAACGCCTTGAATCAGATCCATGCCAGGTTTTGTATTATGCATAAAATTATTTATGTTTCCCATTATGTGGCTTTTGGCCTAGTTTAGGGGTTTTTTTGGTGGGCAAAGGGTGGGGAGAAGTTCTACTGATCTGGTGAGTAGAAACATAATGCATTTGGTATTTCTTGTATCAATTTTGCAGATACTTGTTGCTACACCTGGTAGGTTGCTGGATCATATTGAGAGTAAGTCTGGAATATCTCTGCGATTAATGGGCTTGCAGATGCTTGTACTTGATGAAGCTGATCATTTACTGGACCTGGGATTTAGAAAGGATGTAGAAAAAATTGTGGATTGTTTGCCCCGTCAAAGGCAATCTTTACTGTTTTCTGCAACCATACCGAAGGAGGTTAGGTTAGGTTTTTGTTTTTTTGATTAATTTTTAACCTCAGGTTCTTTATACTATCAACAGTGTTGCTGATGCTTAAAAATATGCAGGTACGTCGCATATCCCAGCTTGTTTTGAAAAGGGAACACAAATATGTTGATACAGTTGGAATGGGTTGCGTAGAAACTCCTGTTAAGGCAAGTTACAGCAACCATTGTCATTCTCTAAAAATTGCATAGCATAATACATATTTAATTGATTTCTAGAGCCTTAGGCTGTATATCTTTTCTTGTTGAGGAAGAGGGGGTTACTATTGTAATTCTTGGTTTTTTTTTAAACTGTTAATTTTAATGATTGTATCAAAATTTTCCAGTGATAAGCACTAATGGTTATTCTGGTTTGCTATCACAGGTGAAGCAATCTTATCTCAGTGCTCCTCAGGAGTCACATTTTCAATTAGTGCATCATATTCTGAGGGAGCATATCTTGCAAACACCTGATTATAAGGTTAATAATACATATGCTGTTTCAGATTTTGAATTGCTTTGCTATATATTTTATGGTTTTGACCAGTAGATTTACCTGCAGGTTATTGTATTCTGTATAACTGGAATGGTGACCTCACTCATGTATAACCTTCTTCGGGAAATGAAAATGAATGTTAGGGAGATGCATTCCAGAAAGCCTCAGCTCTATCGAACTCGAATATCAGATGAGTTCAGGGAATCCAAACAATTGATTCTTGTCTCATCTGATGTTTCATCGCGGGGAATGAATTATCCTGATGTCACCTTAGTCATACAGGTACGCTTACATCTTTTAATCTGTTTCCATTCATGTTTTTCTGTACTTGGAATGTTGGAAATTTTCTTTTTTCCTTTTGATTTGTGATGGTAAATTAACAACTACTGAAACAAAGTTCCTTATGAGACCGGGAATTGTTTCATGCTGAAAATATCAAGTAAAAGGTGGATATCTAGCCAATGATTCCATCAGGAACTACTTATTGGCCCCATGTCCCGTATATATATATATATATGTGTGTGTGTGTGTGGAACCCAGGTGGATATAGTGCAGTCTTCACCTTTTATTAATAGTATCCAAATGGAATTCAGGTGGGAATTCCTTCCGACCGGGAACAATACATACACCGTCTTGGAAGAACAGGTCGGGAAGACAAAGAAGGGAAATGCGTATTGTTGATTGCTCCATGGGAAGAGTATTTTTTAGATGAAATTAAGGATCTACCTCTACAGGAATTTCCCTTGCCAGACATAGATCCACAGGCAAAACTTAAGGTACATTTCTTGCTGTTGTTCTCATATACATTTTGATTTATGCATACGCAGATTTTGATCCACAAAATTCATGTTGTGTCCTGACATATAATTGTGGATAAAGAAAGTGAAGGTGATTTTACTCGTTTACCACGTTTAATTTGTGCATGACTTTGGTATGGGCAATATCTGGATTATACACAGTTAACTACAATTTTTGTCTATGATCCTTCAGATTGAGAATTCAATGGCAAAAATTGATAATGACATCAAAGAAGGCGCTTATCATGCTTGGCTTGGTTATTATAACTCCATCAGAGAAATTGGGAGGGAAAAGACCACTGTAGTTGAGCTGGCAAACCGATTTTCTGAATCAATTGGTTTACAGAGGCCTCCTGCTCTCTTCCGAAAAACTGCTATAAAAATGGGTTTGAAAGACATTCCTGGCATTAGAATTCGTAAATAGTTCAGCTTTTGGCACAAATAGGTAACAAACATAATGAGATAGTAGCATGCATGGGACAAGGAAAGTATCATGGACCACACTCAATTTTGTTTCGTGATTATTCAATTGTTACTGCTGAAATCCTGTATTTAATCGTAGTAAGTGATGTCAAACACCCAGTTGATCAAAATAGCCATTCATTGATGATTGGCTTAGTTTCGAGGAAGAAAAATATAAAAATGAATGTTCGCATAAATAAATGGTATCTTTACTCTGAAGTTAAAACAATTGAAAAAGTGACAAATAGTCATAGGATAGACCGAGTCTTCACAAAATTAATGACACTAGCTAAAGATTTCCTTTAGTTCAAAATTCGATTCCCTTTTGTTAAGTGCCTTGGTTAAGCACTCAAATCACACATACCTTGAAATCTTTAGGTTTCGGTGCCCAATTGTGGATTTGTTGCTGGATGACATTTGAGCTGTTTCGCACTGATTTTCAATTGGAAGATTTGTCATACATGGGACTTTGTGTACTAACTATGTATTCTTGTCGAGAAAGGTCGTTGACGAAGAAGATAACTATCTATCAGTCGATCGGTTTAATCAGTATCAGTCTAATAAAAAATTAGTCCGAAATTGGATTGTTATTTTAAATAATTATTATTTTTTTATTATTTTATGATTGTATTTTCTGTTGTATTTATTATTACTGTTAATAAGTTTATTATATTATAAAAAAATTATTTCATTCAATTTGATTATACAATTTAACTTCTATTTAACCTTTAAATTTTAAACGTATATTTCAACCGGTTGAGTAACCGTTGTAATTTTAACAAATTGATGAAGACGATGATAAATTGACGATGGAATGAATACGAAGTGGCAAGCTTGCAAGAGGATGTTCTTCTGCACATAAAACTGAAACAAAAAAAACAGCTTAATAGGCATTTACGTCAATGTAAAGTATAGTAAATCAGATATCATATTTAGTATAATTATTATAAAAGTAAACGAACTAATGATGTGATTAGATTATGCTTATACAAATTATACTGAGTGCATGTGATTTAGTTAAATACTAAGCATTATTTTTTTCATACTGTGATTTTATTTAAATGATAAATTGTCTTATATATCTCTTTGAATAACAAAAGCTAATTATCATTACTGTTTCATTTAATATATTAGTTGAAAATCTCTCATTTAATACAAGTGAATAAAAGTTATTTAACTTTGTTAAAAAAACACATAATTTCATAAAAGAGAGCTAACTTTGACAAATAAATGAATATTCCTACTTTTTTTATTTGTTATCAATGACAAAACATCATGTTAAGCTTTGCCAAACTTATATTTTTAATAACCTTATAACCGACAAGTTTCATCAATTCTAAAATAATTTGTACAACAAATAGAACAGAACATTATTAATGTTTCCATTTATATATACTATTATGTAAATTTATCGCTGAGCAGTATTAAATATCATGATATGTGCCCTTGTTATATTATAAACTTGAATCTAGCAGGATAACTGTATTGTTTACTCTGTTACATATAATCTCATGTCTTTCTTAATTTCGCTTATCTCCAAACCTTTTGAATCAAACGAGTATTTTCCTTAATTAATTATAATTAAGATTTTACAAAATAAAAAGTTTTAGACAAATTTTTATACCAGTTAAATTGAAATTTAAAGTATTTTTAATTATGTTTTAATCATTTTCTTTTATATTTAAAAGCACCGTGCGATTCGCAAAGATTGATATTTGCTAGTTGATACATTGCAGGTGTGAAGTAGTTTTGTTCAAAATAGAGATTGTCAACATCAACGACAGAAGAAGAATGGGAAATTATCTGTTTTGACGTTTGTCCTGCATCACCAAAAGTACTCTTACGGGGCCATTATATTGTTCCACACGAAAACACCTTGACCTAAATAACCTGGCCATATTAAACTGATGTTGGGTCCACCTTGTTAATCAGGAGTCAAATCGGTATCCCGTTAGGATGCAACCAGAGACATGTAAACAGCACAACATAATCACAATCAAACTCAACCTGCAAGAATTAAAAACTCTAACATGTGATCATGGGGTCTAAGGGAAAGATTAACTAATTATGAATAATAACATGGCCATTTGTACATATTGAGTATTTAAGTCATAAATCATGATAATTGGGCAAGATTATCAAGCAGGCTATTTATTTTGCACCAATCTACCATAAGTGCCTACTTGCTTCTTCGTTAACCCAAAAAATGAGTTCTTCAACTTGAGTCTATTGAAGTTTAAACAAACAAAAATTGTTTGGACAAAAATCTTGTTCAGTCCCATTTTATTTTGTACAGTACTATTATTTTATGCAATTGTTCTATCCCGATATACGCGCATTGCATAACTCAAGCATATAAAATAAAGTTAAAATAAAAAGAGCACATAAAACTGGAGTAACCAAAGAGAAGCGTCTAAGAATTAACTAACGATCTTCAATACTAAAGCATACACGTTAAAATAGAAGAGACTCAAGCCTATTACATCGGTTTGGGTTCCGTCCAAGAAGAGTCACTGCTACCTTTAGCCCTTGATTAGATATATCATCAGTATATCATCCTTCAGCATGACCTTTAGATTTGAACATATTCTACACATGAAGAGCCTAAGTCATAAGCATTGCTGGCATGATTCTAACTTCTACCGTCGGTGCAGGTTTATACTTTATGCACCCATCAAAGAAACAGATGATTGAGAATGACCCTAGTTTTATTTATTAAATTTGTTTAATGGGAATTGAAATTCCAGCCCCAATAAGTCCAGTCAATAAGAACAGGCGCCAAACGTGGCCCTCATTCATGTGGTTTTAGCCACGATCAAAACAGTTGCTACACTCGTAAGCATTAACTTATGACAAACTATTTACCTCATCCATTGACACGATGGTAGCCAACTTTACAAGTAATGGTGCTCGAAAGAATGCCTACTGGGAACACCAGATGAGGATAAAAGATTAAGATAAGGAATTCAAAAATCCATTTTCTTTTGATTCCTTTCCAGGGACCCCATCCTCAACAGTTTTCTCATAATTGAGAATATGAAATGACTTTGAAGAGCAAGAGCAACCATACAGCTGCTTTCGCATCAGTACTATACGATGATTTTGGTGTTGACTGAATGAGGTAGCTGAGGAAACCTATCGAAGGTGTCACAGATTAAGGAATAGTTAAATATTGCATCTGATCACCAATAAGAATAGATTAGAGGCCAGGGCAGATGAGGAAAGACAAAATTAAAATCGGAAAAAAGACACAAACACAACCTGCCATTCTGATCCAAGGACAGCATGGTCTTCGTAGTTATTATCACACGCATTAAATAATCAAAACTCTAAATGAGCGGCATAATAGACCCAACTGATAGAAAAGTCAACGGTCTCATCCTTTTTCTAAGCAGTATTTTAATGTGGCACTCTACCAGAGTAAAAGGACCAAAGAGGACTCGTGCTTTCTTGGGCAATAATTTAAAAGCAAAACTTTTATTCATCAGGTATTCATCTTTACCTGAATCATCAGAGTGTAATTCCAAAAAAATCATCTGAATCAAAATAAGTGAACACTAGCAACTGTGCAAATACAAGTAGAACTGCTTAATCCTAATTTTGTCTTGTCAATTAGTACAGACAATGGTCGACAGCAAATCCATTTATGATCAGTGGGCAGTTTGGCCATTTCACTAAAATTAATTTAGTTTTGGCTCTATCTTCTCTACAGCTTCCCTGACCTCGTATAAAGGGACAATAGATGAATAAGAGAATAAACTAAATCCAGCCCTTCTCTTTTCTATTGTGTTAGTTCGTGTTTTAAGTTCCTCACAAGACTGCAGTGATGGAAGTTCAATTTTCAAGGCTCTCACTTCTGATCTTAATGACTATACTGATGCTGAGCCAACTTTCAAGTTGCTGCAAGGCCGGTAGATGGATGAGTAAAGAAATCAAGCAAAAAGAAAAAAACACCTCTTCTCAGCAGCTCTCAATCTCATGGCATTTCTATACAAAGACACAACAGGAACCTAGCACAGAAAAGGACCATCCAATTTATGGAGTTTCTCTACGTGATGTTCCAGGGGGTCCGAACCCCCTTCATAACTGATCAACCATCTAGCAATCTGCTGCTTGTCAAGTTATACAAGATTTTGCAGGTTCTAGTGTAAAATATTTTAGTTTCCCATTAAAGATGTAGAATAGATAGTTCATGCATCATCGTCCTAGTCTTCTAAAGACAATAATTGTACTTTGATTCAATGAAAAAATAATGAAATATGCAGACATTTACCCAAAATATAAAAATTGTTCCTTGAAATTGCGAAACATAAATTATGTTAAAAGTCTCTATGACCTGTGTAAATCTTGGGTTGGGTGTTGGAATAATTTCTAGAGGAAGGCATGCGAAACAGGAACTTCTGTTTAAATATGAACAATGAATGAAAGAAACACAATGGTGACTGTAAAAATGATGACTAAATCTCATTTTTTCTTTCATCATACTTGATATTTTATCAAAACATAGATTTTGGTAACTTTCCCCAGTTTCTTTCATTCACATGCCTAACTAATATTTAAAGCAATCTCGGTAATAAGGTTGCAATTAAATGCATGAGTGGTCAATATGCAACAAAAGAAACACTAATATATTGAATTATTTAGTTAACAGATAAAAGATAGTTCTTGTAGAAGTAATAAAATGGTCTTCAAAACATGCCAAATTCAAGTATGTTTACACGTTACTGTCTAATTTTGCTTAACTATGCCATTAGTGACAGGAATATAGTTTAATTATTATGCTTTTATAAAGTTTACGTAAAACAATTTGGAGTCAGTTTGTTTTCTAAACAGCTACAAGATAGATGATACTCTGATGTGCGAAATCCCAAGTGCTAAAAAAATGAAGGAAAACAGTTGAAATATATGAGTGCTGACTCAATCTTTGTCAACAACAATTGATTACATGGATTACACAATGTTTTTAGCTTGGTTAAAAATCAATCTTTGTCAACGGTAATGAAAAAAAGAAAAAAAAAAAAAAGATCAAGAAGTTAGTGCTATTTTGCTATAAAAATTGATAAAAAGGAAATCTTTTAGTGAGGTTGCTGGGTAAAAAAATCGCATCCCCTGAATAGACTCTTATCTCAAGATCACCCATCCAAGCCTTCCCCACACAGGGACATTCATTACTGTTGTCGTTGACTCATAGTGGTTGAACTGATAATATCTATTAGTTTAGCATATGTCCATAAATCAGTATTGAAATTATGAAACAACCTTTGCCTGAGAAAAAAAAAAAAAGCACCTTGTAGAGCTAATTTTGACAATGACCGAGCAATATTTTGCCAAAGCAAATATAAAAATAGTAGGTCCAGGCAAACATGTACAATTTTACATGTAAATGTATAAATAAACGAAAAAAAAAAAAAAACTGAGGCAATTAAGTGTCAGAACGTCACAGATCACAAAAACAAGTGAACACTTATATACTATAATCATAATTCATGGCAAAAAACAAAGTGAAATTAAAAAGCAGGAAATAACCTTCATCATTGTTTCCAAAAAGAGGAAATCATGCCGCACCTCTTGTTGAAACCTGCAAACATTTGGCACAAAATATGTATCTCTCTTCCAAATAAGCCAATTAAGTAAATAGTAAAAACTTACCATGAAACATCCTCGCTACATAATTTCAGTTCCCACAGGATCAACAGAAAAATGAAGTGATAAAAATTTGTGGACAATAGGCTGGAACTTAGAATGCCATACCTGTTTTTCAAATTCAAAGATAACTTAGAACCTTGCGGTGCATGTTCTCAAGATATGGTTACAGTGGTAATAGTTCAGTTTTGTAAAGATATTTTTATCAATGAAGTTATATTCAAATTTTTCTCATAAGATGTTTATTTTAATAAGTTGATATGATCAAAATGAAAAAACACAAAGGATATATTTGGCATGGGGCTTTGGAAAGATAAGGAGGAGGCACATTTTTCATTTTAAATTAAGAGAAAGATATAATGTTTATTAAAATAAGTAAAAGGTAAGGAAACTTTTACAAATCTATCATTTGATGTCTTTTACTTTTAAAAAAAGATTAAGTTAGAGAGGAAAAGTTTACCCTCCCTTCCTTTTCCCTCCAAAAATCCATTCTCAAACACCTAAATATCCATCACTTCAAAAATTAGAACTGTTATTTACCAATAGAAATGATAGCACATACCCAAACAAATTTAGAATTATTTTGTTTACTGAAAAAGGATGCATTCAGAAACGTTTTCCTTTTGGCATGGAGATCAAATTATAATGATCACTAAAGTACAATACACACTACTTTAGACCAAAATTGTTTGACAAATAACACCCCAAGTGCAGAAATGAGAAATCCGAATGTGTAAGAAATAATAAAAGGTTTCTTACATTTTTGTACTCTTTGCTGTTTATAAATATCTCAAATGCCTCAACTGCAGAAGAAATGCCATCATCAACCAGTACCATTCTTATGGTGAAAGAAAATCAGATGCTAAAGATCACGAGACTGCGATTACCTGATCGAAATCGTATCACAACTCCATGAGTATACTCCTTAGAGCTTGGACTAAAATTCAAACCTGGCAATATATTAATAACCCAGTTAGGCAGTTATAAAATAAAAATTCGGTAAAAAGAATATTCTTCATACTATTTCATAAAGGGCAACCATAGCATGAAATTCCCAAGAAGTGGGGTTAAGCAGAGGCAGTTTTCCAGATTTGAACCCGTGACCTTCTAGTTACTAGGCAACAACCTATCCATTGGGCCAAAGCTCACCCTAATTTTCATACTATTCTTTTGTGAAATTTTTGAACTTTTGATTAGCCAACAAACCAAGTTAAATAACAAGGAAACAATTGTAGAAGTAATGGTAGAATTGGAACCTTGAGTATATTGGACTATCAAGGAAGGGGATTCCAACATCATCGATGACAGAGAGGCCAATGCATGCTCTGCCTGGTTACCCAGTGCAGCCTCGTTAAATGATATCAAAAGCACAAACTCCACTCCATGGTTGAACTCCTGGTATATACGTTGCAAGAATCAGAAGCAGGATGGGCCAGTGCCATAATGAGATATAAACAAAAAAGTAACCCCTAAATCTAAAATGTGCAAGAGCAAATATTCAGAACATGGATGCATTTATGCCCATATCCATTGACAGTCTGTAATGTCCCTAGAATTCGTGGCCCTAGTTATGGTCAAATTAATATTTAGTGTACAATCCTTTAATTTATAGTCCAACCTCTCCTTTGCGAAATATAGAAAGCATCTCATCGGCCACTTCCGATTCAAAATCCACGTTAACTAATTCCTGAAAAAAAAAATCAAATGAAGGCAAAGTTAAACTGCTCACACGCGGAGGTTCACACTACGAAAAATAAAGAAACAGAGAATCGGTGTTTACATGTTGGTGCATACATGGCAGTAAGTCAGTACATGGTCCTTGAGAACCTTCAAGTAAAAGGGATTCTCGTAAAAGTTTTCAAGATTTTGCTTCTTCTGAAACCGCATAAACAGTGCATGCGTGTAACGCTCTGGATTTGGAGTAGAAACGCGCCCTACAGAATCAACAAGGTCATTGGCAATAAAAAAATAAAAAAAAAACAACAACAACCCGAGACTACATGTACGGAGATTCATTTGAAGCAACGGTAGACAAAGTCATGTAATTAGGGAATGTATATAATGTACGCCGCTCCACCTAATGAAATTGCAACAACACCACCCATTTGGTACTGCGTTGTGTACAAGTAATCGAGCATGTCGTTCTCTTCCTCTTCTGATAAATCCTGCTTTGCTTTGAGGAGACAAACGTGTTCGACGATTTTTCTAGAAGAAATTGAAGCAGTCATAATCATATGAAAAGGAGAAGATCGGAAGATGAGAATAGTAAGTGTAACAATAAATGACAGAAGAGACCTTTTCCTCGCAGAATCTAGGTTGGAGCTTCGCTGGTCCGCTCCACAAAGAACCGTTATCCTTTGATTCTTTGGCGCAGTTTTGAATCGGTTACAGTGGTAAGCTGGAAAAGAAATTCCAATTGATGTAATAATAAAGGTGATGTTACGTTAAGCAAATCTAGATGAATGGATTTGTAAAAGGAGTTGAGAGTTGAAGGAGAAAATTCACTGACAGTGAAAAGATAGAGGGGCTTGGGGGAACCGATGGGGGAGAGAAATAGAGGTACAAGAGCCATAGCTTGAGCATTGCATCGCAAAACCCATTTTCTGCAGCTTTGCGCTTTCCTTCTTCGATAAAAGCGAGAGTGGGTTTTATTTTATCACAAAAGCAACATATTCGCAAGACAAAAATGGGTGGACTGGGAAAAACCAACGCCTTTCATTTAAGTACCACGCAAAATTTGGCGCCTTACATTTTCAGTGAACTATACTTTCTCTTGCTCACTCCCACGCCTTCTTTACTTGTCTGTCATTTATTTATTTACAACCTTTTACACAACACAACGTTGGAACTTACACTTCTTTCTCTCTACTACTTCATAGTTATTTACATAAACTTCGCTGTCATTCTATCACCAACCAATTCACCATCCATCTTTTTTTTCTTTAATTAATCTCCCTCCTTTTTTTTCTTAATTCACCTGCTGAGTTTATTTTTGTGCGTTCCAGATAATAGAATTCAGTCTATTTGTCAGATTTGGATCCTCTCAAAGTTAAGAATATAAAAAAGTGATTATACAAATATAAGCGTAATAAGTTAACATATCGCTGTAATGGTTGCTGGACTAAAAAAGATTCAAACTCTTCCTTTTCCTTTCACTTGTGTGTACGGCTGACACCCAAAAAAAAAATTGTACAAGCAGTATCTCAATTAAAAAAATTAACAGAATAGATGTTTTGCAAGTATTTTCACGGCTTGCTTTGTACTCAGGAATCTTGACTATGCAACCACTAAATCCATATACGAGATTAATTTACAAAGTGAGAATGTTGACTACTGAGCATTACCATAATTAGGATCCACATCTATGGAAGTTTGGGTAGGTCTCTAGTTGAGCAAAGAGCTGCTTTGTTTCACTTAATGAATTGAATAAAAGAATTGAACTTTCGATCTAGTAATTAATGTATAGAAAGTTACAAGCCTAGGAAATTAAATATAACATGGTTTTAATATACAAGGATTCACAAATTATTTCGAGTTGTTACAGATCACAACAGTCCATTAGCTGCAGCCTTGATGTATAAAATAAAAATAAAAATATTAAACAAATAAAAGTAGGGCAGGGCTGCAAGAACCTCCTGATATTTCAGTCTGCTAATCTAGTTTAGGCTGTCCAATACATTATCTATTAGAACTAATCAAACCCTAGTTGAGAGCTAATCAGGAATTATTTAAGTTTTGAAAAAGCTCTGGAAGATGGGCATTGGTCAGCTTCGTTCTCTTGTTGATTTCACTCTTCTTCTTCTTAGGCTTGGGCTTGGAAGAAATGCCTTGAATTTGTGCTGCACTCCTCCTCTTTGCAGTGTTGGTGGCGGGCTTCATTCCATTCTTTTGAAGATCCTTCTCTATATCAATCATATCACGAGGCAATTCAATACTCCGGAAAAGCTGTTTTAGATCATCATCCACCTTAATATGCACTTTGGGATCGTTAGGGTAGGCAATATCTTCTTGTGAATCAAAGTTGGACAGCAGCCAAATCTGCCCTGCAGCTTTCAAAGCCTATAAACCGAAAGCTTTATAAGTGAGGTCATATTCCATGAGAAAACATTTATTTGCAAATGTAACCCTTGCATTTGTGCAAAAACATTAACTAGCAGCACTATAAGTCATCTAATTAAAGTCATTTTAATTCCACTTCATCAAAGAGTTGTATTCTTATTTACATATTTTGCAAAAAAGCAAACTAGATATTGACGTTTCCATTGATATTTCAGTAACATGTAAACCTCGATAAGAAAATAAGCAAGGTATATGGTCTTGGAAAAAATAGAAAAGAAAAGACAAAACAGATGCAGAGAAGTGAAAGGAGGAAATTTTCAATGGCTTTTCTCTACTACTAGGCAGGATTCCCTTCGAATTGAACTCCTGCGGTGAAAACATTTGAAATTCTGCCTGTTAACACAGCTCCAAAGTCCAAATAAAAATGAGAGAAAATAGCAGGAAAGGTTGAACTGCACTCAAGCTAGTAGCACCCTTAACAGCAAGACTTTGTAATGACTGACTGAAAAAATGATTATACTCGGTACTAATCTAAATGCTATAGTATAACTGATAGGAGAAAGTAGCAAAATATATTTATAAAACCGACCAATGTGCATTCATGTTTCTCCAATGTAGACAGAAGTCCAATGTAATAGAATTTGTTAAATATATCGAGTCTAGGAACAGAACAACCAATGTAGCTGAAAATCAATGCCAATAAATGTTCATTGTTAGGGAGGACCTAATAAAAGTCATTTTACCTGCAAGTCTTCCATAACAGTGGGGTAAGCATCCTTTAAATCAATAACAGCAAGACCTTCAGGATACTTACGTATCAGTTGAAGAAGTTCTGTTTTGTCCTTAAGACCATACTTTGACTATACACCAAAATCAAACAACAAAAGAAGAATAATAAGTTATTTTCTAAACGACATTCAGAATAAATGAGTATTCAGAACTTCAGATATATCATATAGGCAAGAATAAAAGTAACCTTGTAAGAGAATCGTTGACCATCATAATTCACTTTTGGGTTTTTCCTTAGATTTTCAAAGACATCTTTGTTAGCCTTCATGTCAACATAGCATGCCTCGTTTATCTGCTCTGGTGTTAAAGCTTGTCTTGTCTATCAGCAAACAAATAAGATAAGAGTATGATAAAACATCTCCATCAACCTTAAAAGAATGTATCAATCACCATTTCAGATTCATTAGCCAAAAATTAACTTCAAGAAGGAAACAAAAAGCATGATTATACACGTCCTATAGACTCTGACGGTAAAATAATCTCCTCATCGGTGATTTAGGAACACAAATTTGAAATTTAGAACTGAAACCTTATTTGGATAAATTTATCAAAAAACACTTGTGGGAAATGAAAAGAAAAGGATAAAAATGAATTACACTTCTCTTATAAGTTAAAATCAACGTATTAACTTCAACTTGTATAGAAGCTCTCTCATTTAACTTCTCCAAAATTTGATTTTAACTTATGCATAGGAAAATTTTAGCTTATTTACAACTTAATTTAAATTTATCCAAACAAGACCTAAGTGTCTCTTGAGCAGTTTATTTGAACATGTAGGGTATTTGTATAGAGAATTTTTCAGTTTTTAAGAAATTCAAATACATTGAATTTTAATGGCTTTCATTCCAAATTGTTCAATTTTTCAAATATTTTATTTGGACAAGACAATTCAATTTTATTGAATTTTAAATTTTTTGTTTGGATAGTTATTTCAATTATCACAACATACAAAAATTACCACCGCATAACACTAATGACATGGAGTGATAAACAACCTTTGCAGACATCATAAAAAATAATCACTACAAATTTCAATAAAAGAAATCTGGTTGACATTCATCGTAAATTAGTCTCATTGACATTGGTCGACAAAATCCTGGCAAATGTTAACCGAGAAATAGCTCTAGCCACATCTGTAGATTAATAATCCCAACAATATCAATCGGAAAATATCCTTATCAACATCGGCTAAAACTCTTACTTACATCAGCCAAAAAATATTTTCATTAGCGACGATAAAAATTCCAAGGTGACATCCACATTTAAAATGGCGCTTTTAATGTTGATAGAGAAAAAATTTATCAACATTGGTCAAGAAATAAACCTGACCTATGTTTTGATTGACATTGGTCAAAAAACAACCTTGACTGACATCAACAGAAAATGGTCCTAGTTGATGTCAACCAAAAAAATCGTATTTGACATCAGCCTAAATGAATTAATATCATAAATTCTTAAATTTTCAATTTCTCAAAATTCTCTATCCAAATAATATATTTTGTATTTCAAAATCCCTATAAAAACTGGTTATCTTATACGACTTCCTCGTCCAAACAGAAGGCAAGTGGTTTTTTGAGAAGTTTATCCAAACAATGCTCAAGTGTTTGTTGACATGTTTAACCAAACAGGACTTAACTTGCTAACAACCCAAAGCATGCAAGTGCCAAGCAAAACTCAATTTTAATCTTTCTGTCATAAGCCTGTCTATCTACTAGTACCATAGAAAAGTGAGAATAAAACCGAAAGCCCTATGAAACAAAGACCAATATAGTTGGAGACAATTTGGATATGTACCTCTAGAAGGAGATCAATCACACGCTTCATCTGAGCACCCACAGGAGCTTTCCGTATGCTGTTAATATGCTGAAGCCTCTCCGTGTCGGTCGAAAACTTAACCGCAGAGGGCGCGTTTCTTCCATTGGCCGATCCATGTGCGGCAGATTTTTGGCTGGCTGCGGCCTTGCTTGCTGCAATGCTTGACAGTGTCGTCTGGCACTTCTCCTGCTGCTTCTTGAACTTGTCTAACCTCTCCTGCAACGCCATCTGAAAATCCAAACACACGAACGAATATTAGATTAGTCACTTGGAAATTCGCAATACTGAGAGTTTAGAACTCGCGTTAAGTGTGCAAATTTTGACGACAAAGAGTGAAGAAATTGGGAATTCGAAAAAAAAAAAAAAAAAAAAAAACCCTAAACACGAGAAAGTAATTGCATCAAGTAAGGTAAATAGGAAAGAACCACAATATTCTGGAGGATGAGTGAGTATTGAGTTCTGAATGCCCTAATCTTGCAGGGAAAGTAAAGTAAAGTTCAACGTGCAGCCATGGTGTAGGGAAGAAAGAGAAGCTAACCGGGAATGGAAGCAAAGACTTGGTTGGAGCAGAGTCAGCGGGTATTGTAATTAAGTTCTTGCGGATAAACTTAACTATTTTACCTACAGTTGTTAAGGCAAAACAATAACTATAAAAACATCATAAATAAAATAATTATTTGAAGGAAAACATTATTAAAGGATAAATACATAATGTTTAAAATATTTATATTATCTAGAATTTATAACTTTTCTGTTACCCTTGTAGTGTGAAGATAGAGATATATAGTGGAGATTTTTTTCAATCATTTATTAGGAAATGAAAAATAAAAGTATCATAATTAAAAAATAGTAGTTATTATAATAAATATATATATATATATTAAAAAATAATAAAATATATGAAAAAATATTAATAATTAATAAAAAATATATATTTAAAAAATAAAAGAAAAATTTGTTCAATAGCTATCGAGAATTATTTTATAGTTTTTGCCTAAAAAATTGTAAAAAAAAAAGACAGAAAATCAATGGGGATCATGAAATACATTGTAAAACAATATTTATAAAAGAATATAGATAATCATAATACTTAAACGAAATTTTTTTTTTGTTTTTATTAAATTTTGTTTGTTTTTATATATTTTTTTAAGTAATAAAAAGAAAAACAAACAAATAAATAAAAAAAAGATAAATAAAAATGATATACAATCAAATATTTTTGCAAAGACTACTTGTAATATGCAAAGTATTCATCAACCCACAAAAGTAAGCTTGCGGGACTTAGGGTCCGGTGACACTATCTGACCTTAACTTGTTATATTATATTCTTAAAAAATTTATACATAAAATAAGGATAAATAAATATTATATTTTTATTAATATATAAAAAAATATTTTTTAACTAATTATCATTTATAATTAGTTTATATATATACATATACGAAAGTTAAGAGAAAATATTATACATATTAAAAAATAAAAATATTGACATACTTTAAACCTTGTATTATAAAATACTTTCGACTATTTGAAATTTTTATATAACAAATACTTATACTTTTAACATTTATGTACTTAATGTGGTGGTAACGTGTTAAAAAACTACGTTTTTTAAACATATCAAGACTTTTAAGGTTAAATTATTGTTCCAGATACTCTATTTATCGACAATTAAAGCCTTATTAATAATTAAATATATCATTTTTTTCAATTAAAATTATTTTAATGAAATAAATAATGTATTTATGCATGTTATGAAATTATTAGTATATTTATATGACTATCACATATTAATAGAAACTTGTAATAACATTACATCTACTATATGAACTTATTCATTTCATATAATGATGTTTATATATTGTTATTAATATTTTAATAATTTTTAAAATGAATTTGACATAACATGATTTTTCACGTTTAAATAGAATTAATATTATAACAAAAATATATTATTAACACTATTCAATAATTAGTTGGTATAATTCTAGATAAGCAAGTGAAAATTTTTGCCCTACTAAAATGTGAAATTTGATAAACTATAATTCTTCCCCACTCTTCTTTCTTTATATATTTCGTGTTATAAAAATAACAAATAAAGACAGGGGTTAGAGACAGCAAAAGCGTTTTTTTATTATTATTAAAATACGCAAAAAAAATTAACATTTTAATGTTTTTTATATTTTTTTAACAATTTATTAATTTCTTAACTAACAAAATTATCAATACCCCTGAAAGTATAAATATAATTTTTCTAGGTTTGTTTTCTCATTTCAATTAATCACACTATTCGACCATAGGACTTCACTTTTGATCTATATGAGTGTATGAATGGACGAGCCATAATTTTCTAATTTGGTGGCTGCTTTTTCTTTTTCCTATAACAATCTTGTTTTATATAATAAGTTATAATTAGATGATGGCATAATAATTTTTATTAATCATTATTTTTCCCAATTTTCTCATTTTGATGAATTTATTTTACGGAAGTAATCGTAATCTTTTGAGTGTACTTTGAAATTCGACGGTGACGATTTTGCCGTGTATGATGCATGTGCCATGCACTGTATATTTTTAAAACTATTAAATTGAATAAATGTTATTTTTTTAATATTTTAAGAGAGGAACATGTTCTTACATTCAAACGAACAGTCTAAACGTTATTTTGGAATATAGTTAATTACTTTTATTGTATTAAATTTACTAATTATTTTCTTTCATTATTATTTAAAAATATCTCCAAAACGACAGAACAGATATATTTATTTTCCGTTTACCAGTTTGAGAAGATGTAGTTTGAAAGTAAAAGCAAGGAAGTGTTGGGAGATGCGTGAGTGAGCGAGTAACTGACCTAACGCAGACACACACTGTGTTATGGTCGCCAACTTTTATTTAAGTTAATTAAAATCAAATTAAAATAACTTAATTTTGGGAGAAACAAAAAGTGTGTCGCATTTCAATCTTTCATTCAATAGGACACGTGGGTTGGGAGGCGGATTCGTGGACTCAGATTAAATATTCCAAAAACTCAAATAAAAGCATCAAAACCAATCCTCAGCACTAAGAAGACTCTCACATATCATACCCTCGTCACGAACCCTCAATTTCACTTTCCTCGTTCCTAAACCACTGGATCCTGTAGTTCCTCTCTCTGTTAGGGTAACTACAACCTAATTTAACTACTAATTTTGTTTTTGTTAGCTTAATTTTTAGTTTATGTAGTATGATAATTTTTACTTCGTCTGTGTTTAAGTAAGTGTTACTTTTGATTGTTGTTGTTGTTTTGCTCGTGTATGCTAATGGTTTTTTTGGGGAACCGGGTGTGGAGGTGAGGAGGTGGGGGTTGGATGAGGTTCTAGTCAAAATCAATGCATTTGTTGTGTCTAGATTCATTTCTATTGTTTGTTGTGTACTTTCCCTTTGGGTTTGCCAACCAAGTGACAAAAGTTATGGTTTGCTAAAGTATGTTTTTGCTTTCGTTTTCCTATTTAGATAAGTTTGCTCTTCAATTTGGTGTGGGGATAGTGAAATACTTACTGACCATCTGGGTTGTTGAGGGGTTTGTGTTTCGACGAGTTGAATCTGTTTGATGTTCAGATGTCTTTCTTGATTTTAACATATCCATTGAAGCTGCTACTTTCTGGTGATTTATGAGAGTTGTTTTGTGTTTCAGGGGGTTCAACAGTGATGGGCAAAATCCAGCTTAGTGTGAATTGGAGTGCAAGTTGTGGTTCCTAGTATGTGTGTTGCAAGTTATTTCTCCTTGTTGGCAAAATGAAACGAGTCAGACTGCAAGTTTTTTGGCAGAAGGCAAAATCCAGCTTTTGCTAATTTCTTTTATCTTTGTTTACATAACCCGCATTCTTAAAATGGAAAGTCCTGATATTATAAAGTCTGAAGAAACCAATAGACAAATTGATACTAACACAAAATCTAATTCTAAACAGCAGGTGGGTATGAATTTTGGAGATTTTTTATATTGGGATTTTTCCTTTCCCGACATTGTTAAAAGCCTTTATCACTTGTCACTTAGTTCACTTGTGATAATTTCAGAGTCTAGAGAAAGCTAATGAACATCCTAAATGGTTACCTGATGGCTGGAATGTGGAAGTCAGAATCCGTAAAAGTGGTTTACACATGGGATCTGGATACAAGGTGGTAGATACATTCTCTTAATTTGGATGTTCTTGTTGTAGACTGTCAGCAACTTCAATTAGATTGTTATCATTCCTTTTAGTTTCAGTTATTCATATAGCAACTTAATATTATTCCTTAAACACGGGCTTGCTCTTAGTCATGTAGTAACTGTTCTGTTGCCACTAATGTATAGTTAAGATTGGTAGTGTATAACTTGCACTGTTCTTAATTTTCGGGTCTTGAATCATGAATGCTTTTTGAAGAATTGTCTGTAGCAAGTGTACTTTGAAAATCTTAAATTAAATTCTTAATAAGACTCATGGCTTATATGTGTTACAACATTACTATCGTTTTCCCCATTTGTCTAGCTTGTGACACTTGTCCTAAATTGGTGAGCTGAATTTTGGGTTACATCTTTCAAGACCATGTTCAAATTATATTGCAATGGTAAAAGGATAAAATCTGTACTCTTTAATTGATGTGAACATGTGAGTGGTATTTTATATTTTTAGCTTTGCTGATGGTCTTTTTTTCAGGAATGTTAGTTACAATGTTGCGCTTTGTTTTTTGCTTAGTTATCCACTATTAATGACTGTTTGAAGGGTAAAGTAACCATTACTCGTAAAACTTCAGCATGAATTTATTGCTGTTTATTTACCAATGGTTCAACATTAGTAATGTTACTTATCCCTCACTATGAACATGTTTTTATGTTTCAGTGTTACATCGAACCTTTGAAAGGATACAAATTCTTCTCCAAACCAGAGGTATTACGATATCTTGAAACTGTAAAGGACAACAGTTGCACTTCCCAGAAGGGGAAGCAATGTAGTAAGATACATTCTCCAAATGACAACAATTGCACTTCGAAGAAGGAGAAGAAGTGCAGTAAACTGCATATTCCAAACGACAAGAGTTGCATTTCCAAGAAGGAGAAGAAATGTGCTAACATGGAGTCTCCAAATGTCAACAGTTGCAGTCCCAAGGAGGAGAAGAAGTGCTGTAACACAGACAGCAGCAGTCGCGCACCCAAGAAGGAAAAGAATTGCAGTAACATGGTTTCTCCAACTGATGTTAGTATCACTTTTTCCTTGCATCTTGAGTTTTGTTTTGTTTTGTTTTCTATTTGTTATTAATGAATTGTAAATGTTATCATTAGATTGAAGATTGATTCTCATTTTACGTATATGATTGATGATTTTCTAATTATTTAGAATTGTTCGTGGCCTATGAACCCAGACTCACACTAAATGGAAGGACTATTGTTTATCTATTGTGCGGAAAAGACCGTCTTCTGAAACCTAACTTGAAAATGAAACCACAATGAGGAAAAACTTATTGATTAGAAAAATGACAGCTAGTGGTAGAAAAAGAAATATAGGTATTATAGATGATATGATGTGATAGGAAGAGAGATAGAGAGAAATTATACATTTTGTTTACGTGTTTAAAAATAAAGGGTGTCTGTGTCATCACCCTATAGACTAAACCAGGAAAGAATCTGACCAACTTAAGAAAAGGGCCCCATTCATGAAATTAAAATGGCTGCCTCAGCTTTATGATCTCATGTTTATTATTTGTTTCTTTGCACACCTACTTCACCGATTTGGCTTGTGTTTCTTTTGTTGAACAATATGGATAGTAAGAATTTCAAGCCCTAGTTTGTCTGTCTATCGGGTTGCATTTTTTCTTTCATATGTTTTGTGATTTTTGTCTACTTGGATTTTGTTCTAACAAATTTGCACTTTTACAAACAAAAGGCATTGGAAGTTTACAAATAAAATGTTATATCTGTAAAAAGGATTGTTGGATGAGCCTTGATTTAGTCAATTGAATATTTTTATAAATTATAACATCTTTGTAACATTGTTTATATTTAATTTTCAAAGTTTTTCATTGTTTTAGGTTGTGGTTGAGAAGTCTATTGTGGAGGATTTACCACCTGGGTGGGTAAAAGAATTAAAGATTACAAAGAACAGCAAGGGCACTCGGAAAGATCCGGTATGAAAAAATTTCACCCCCTCCATCCAAAAGGATCTCGTTTTATGTATAATAAAAAAGTTGATATTTATGTAATTTTACATTTTTTCCCCTTCAAATCAAGTGATTATTGTCTTCTCACTTTTGGAGAAGTGGGTTACAAATAAATCCGTGATGTGGTTTATGGAGTAATATGCTACATTTACAGTTTTCCAAAAGTTGATGCTTATACAAATTATGATTGGTTTCCAACAGTTTTATATTGATCCAGTGAGTGGATATGTATTCCGCTCTAAGAAGGATGTACTGAGGTATCTTGAATCTGGTGATATACGTTCATGTGCCTTTAAGCCAAGTAAAAGACAAATCCAAGATGAAGACAACATAACTGTAAGATATTTTTGCATGACTACTGTCTCACTATTGCTGCTTTTGCATTCTTCTTACCCATTTGTTCTTACTGCAAGCTGTTAATAATTAAGGGAATTCTAGGGATTTTTTAATTACATCAGATTTGAGACTCACTGAAAACTCAAGCATATTAAGACATTTGATTAAGATTTGCCTACTTGGATAGTATTCTTTATAGATTTCAGTGTAGATTTGGGTTGATGCAGTTGTCTAAAATTGTAGAATGCTATATGATGGGTAATCCAAACTCTGAATGATTAACAAAGAACAATCTTAAAGTGGATCTCCCAATCAATAACTTTTCATGTTTTCATCTAAGAATTCAAACAGAACAATTTCATATAACTTCTTTTGTTCAATCTAGCCACCACCTGCTGCCAAGAGACAGAAACTGAAGCAGTCTGCACTCATGCAACAGCTTTCTGCATGTAAGAAACTATTCATGACTGAAATATATTCAATTTTGCTACAAGTTCATCCAACACTTTGAGATGAAGAATATACCATTCACACCTGATGCCCGTTCCTGCTTATTTTAATTTTTTTAATGCAGCCACAGAAATACTTGATAAAAGCAGCTTAGAACTGCCAAATGCCAACAGCCCAAGGAAAGAGCAAAATGCAAATCTGTCATCTAGAACTATGGTTGCTTCTGTTGCCATAGGTGAATCTGTTCCAAAGATGCATCCACTAGATAATGGGGCTGCAAACTCTTCTGAAGTGAAGAAAACATCTGACCCAGGTAGGTCAGCACTTTTGAAAAATGAATCCTTGAAGGAATCAGCAAAAGTACTCTCTGCAGATGATGTGCAAGAGAAAGGGCATGTTTTGAATACAACGGAGAATGGTAATGAAAAGAATTACAGTAACCATAGCATATCCAAAATCAGGAAGGAGTTCAATGTACGTCAGCGGTCATCACCGAGACTTGCTGGAGGTAAATCTGTCCAGCTGGCAAACAATGTGATCAATGAACAGACTCTTCAGGTTCCAAAAAGAAACTTGAGGAGTAGAAACACTCTAGATCTGGATATTTCTGTGGACCAAGCAGCTTCTAAAGAGCAACCACATCCGCAAGAAACAGATAAAATAGAAGACAATAAGTCAGGAATTCAAATTAGCTCAAACAAGTCAGGTAAAAAGAAAGGGTACCATCTTCCTTGTCGTGCTTCAAAACGATTAGCTGCAATTGAACATGAGTCAATAAACTCCAAAGTGGATTTGCAGCAAAGTGTGCTTGGGGCAGTTACAACAGTGCTTGCAGATAAAGGAAAAGTAGCAAATAAAAAGAAAAAGTCAGAACCTCGGCTGGAGAAACGTCAAAATGAAGAGATGGATGATGAGAAATCAGAACCTCAGCTGTCCTTTGCATATCACTATTCTTGGTCTGACCCTAACTTGGAAAATGCAATCAATGCCCTCACTGGTGTGTTACCACCAGCTGATAGTATTCCCAATACTGTCTCTGAAACTGATATTAGTACACTTGTTGATAATGTTACGGGAAGAAGTGCCACTACAATCCCTGAAACTGATGTTCAAAAAACTTTGGTTGGCAATGTTACGGGAAGGAATGCCACTGCAGTTCATGAAATTGATATTCACAAAACTTCAGTTGACAATGTTATTGGAAGAAGTGCCACTACAGTCCCTGAAACTAACATTCAAAAAACTTCAGTTGAAAATGTTACAGGAAGAAGTGCCTCTACAGTCCCCGAAACTGATACTCAAAAAATTTTGGTTGACAATGTTATGGGAAGTAGTGCCACTACAATCCCTGAAAATGATGTTAATAAAACTGTGGTTGAAAACGATTTGGGTATAAGCATCTCTACAGTCCCTGAAACCGATATTCAAAAAACTTTGGTTGAAAACGATTTGGGAATAAGCATCTCTACAGTCCCTGAAACCGATATTCAAAAAACTTTGGTTGACACTGTTACAAGCAGGGACAGTGAAAACAATGTAGTTGACACTGTTACAGGAAGCAAGGACAGAAAATCTCAGGTACGTTCAAATAAACCCAAGAGAAAGAAAGAGCTCAAAGTACCTATGCGATTATCAAAGCGACTTGCTGGCCTTGAACCTGAGTTACTGCCTGCTGAAAGAGCTCTTGAATATTCCACTAGAAAATCATGCAAAGAAGAGCCAACTGCCACTGTTACTTTAACTAATGGAGTGTCTGATCATCACAACGATGCTGGGGAAGAAACCAAGCTTACTCTTCCAGCTTCTGACAGTTTGAAAACAGATGAACTAGCAGAATCCTTAAAACTGAGTGAGAAGTCATACGATTGCCTAACCGATCACAAGGAACAATTGAAGAAAGTTGAAGCTGAAAATGTTGGTGATGTGATATCAGAGCCACAGCTCCCCTTACCGTTTGGGGACTCTTGGTCAGATCCATGCCTAGAATTTGCAATCAAGACTCTTACTGGTGCTTTTCCGGATGATGCTGGTGCAGACATTATGCCTGCTTTGCCTCCTGGCTTCGATAATCCTCCATATAAGCAAGCGCATGGGAGTGTGTTTACAAACATCAATCAAGAAGCTCATGATAACTTGAACCAATCCAAGAACAAGAACGAGAATATGGTTAGCCAACCTGAGTTGAGGACAGGCTCCACCTCTTATGAAAATGCTCTGAACTTTACTACTAGAGAGTCTTATGTTGATCAAGGCAACATAATTAGGAATTTGGATGGAGAACCTCGTCACACTGGAAACATAACACAACCTGTGGATCATTGTAGGAATGTAAACACACCAACACATGAGCAGCCCTTAAAGCAAAATGGACTGGCTGTAGAGGGTGGAATTGTTACAACGGAGCAACAACTATTTGAAACTGGAACTGTAAACCACGATAACTCTGAGTTACAGTATTGTGCTCCGTTTATGAATTCTTGGTCAGACCCATGCCTAGAATTTGCATTTAAGACTCTTACAGGTGTGATACCAGTAGAGGAAAATTTAACACTCCAAGGATGTTTCCCGGAACCTGCTAACTGTCATGAACGAAGGGATGGTGTCTCAATGTTGCCAGATTTCAGATCTTCCAGCTTTTCACAAAGCGATTTCTCGTTTCTCCATGATACAGGAGTTAAGTCCATGCCGGGGCAGCAGTCATCAGTTAGCTCTTCATTCCTACCTTTGGAAAAAACGAGCCTTCCAGGTTTCGCTGGAGTTGATCCTCAAACACACTTTTCTCAGTGCAACAATAATTTTCAAAAAAGGTAAGCTAATTAGATATTTGTTGCTCCCTGCAGGATTACCGCTACTGGTATCTAGTTACACTTTTGTAGACTGCAAAATGTTTGTCATTAACTATCCTTTTATCTTCCTCGTGACATTTGTAAATACATTGTGAACACAAGATCTCGCTCAGTGTTCTGCTTTGTTTGTTGAGAAGATTTAGGTAAGCAAAGTAAGGAGGTACAGGATTCCAACTGTTGTTGTGACACTATTTAACTACTGTAGTTGAATCTCTAGTTATTAATTGGTTCAATTAGTATTATTATTTATTTTCTTTCGCTTTCAGAAAAGGCATAAGCACACTATTGCATGTTTAAATTAGCTTATTTTGAGAAAAAAAATTTCTATTTTCTTGATTTTTAAAAAACATTATACCAGCTGATTAGTAATTCTACTATAAAAAAGCACCAATATTGTTGACACAAGTGATAGTAGGGACTTGTGTCCCTTACTAGAAAATGGTTCAGGTTCGAATCACATAGAAAAATGATTGTAGTGCCTCCCTTGTAAATGTATTATTCGGAATTGGGATTTAGAACTATTATTTGCATATTTCCGATTGATTCAGCGTTATAACAGGAGGGTGGTTCTAATTCCTAATCAACCCCAAAATGTAGGCTTTTGATACAATGCAGTTATTAAATCCCCGATTTTTATACCCAATTTGTTTTTCATATTTTACAAGATCATTTTGTAGAAATTATAATTTTACGTTCTAATTCTTTAGGGTAAATTCATCCGGGTGCTTTAATATTACATGGTTACCCATGATAAAACGGCTCAGTTCGTTCTTTTTTTCGTCTATCCTGTTTTTATCTCCAGCGTATTAAAAATAGGATAAGTTGTGTATAATAGTTTTTTAATTTTTATTTATTTATTAATATTTTTATTAGATAAATTAAAAAAATTATTATATTTATATGTTAAAATAATTAATTATTTAAATTTAATTTTTATAATTTAAATTATAATATATTTATATATATTTCAATATTAATATAAAAATATATAATTTTTTTATTATCATTTTATTTTTATTTTAATATATAAATATATTTTTAAAACAAATTATCTCATCTTATTTTTTTCTACCGAATTAATGGATTAGGTAGGATAGGATAAAATGAATTAGGTAGAATAGGGTAAAATGGGTTACCAATTAAAATTGGACTTAGTTTATTTTGCTATTTTTATACAATAAAGTGGATGGTTTAGGAAAGAAATTTCAAACTGATTATAACATATTAAAATTAGTATAAATGAGATATAAATTTATTTAATAAATTACTCTTTTAGAATTAAATTAGATTTTATAAATCAAATTTATATGATTAAATTAAGTAAATGATTAAATGCCAACTAATACACATTTTATGCAGTTTAAATGTAACCACAATGCTCAGTATACCTCAAAGAATTAGTATTACATTGCTCATCAAATAATTAGGGAATAAGCCTTATTATTTAATGTTTAACACAGCTTCTTCTTTTTATTTTTCTCATGACTTCATCACTTGTAAATGCTAAACAAATTAATATCAAGATCCTCACACAGTTAACAGTAGTCAAAGAATCAGAAATGCTATAAATAAAGACATTTAGTTTCTGTAAGCAGACTCCTTCCATCCCCCAAAATCTTCCTCTACACTGCGTTCCCTGCGATCCTACATCAACAAACCCACACACATCTTAACTACTCTTTAACTCTTATCATTAAACTAATTAAATAAGAAAATAAATTTAATTACCTGATGCTTAAAATTAAGGCCAATTCTAATCTCTCCACAATAACGGTTATCTTTCACAACATTGAATGAAGTGGGTGAGATATTGCCTTCGCAGAACACTGCATCCAGCGGAATCCTATAATACATACATTTCAAAATTTTAAATATATATAAATAAAAGCGACAAAAATTCATGAATTAAACTACATAAAAATCATCTCTAAAAGTGCTTTAATATAATTGTATATAATTATTTACATAAATTAAACCGAAGTATATTATTATTTAAGGAAATTTAACCAATTTGAAGTATTAAAGTTAATATCTATTTTAAAACATATTTTTCAATCTTATATTTCAGTCTAATTAATTTAAGCAATTATATTCACAAACAATTCCTTATTTAAAAACCTAACTAAAACATTAAAAAAAAATCAAATATAATTTTTTTTTTTCCAAATTCATTTCATTTTTTGTTTGTTTGTTTGTTTACAATTCTGTGTCTTTATATACATTCGAGACAGAATGATGGAGAAGAGACTCACGTAACTTCTCCCACGAGATCATCAGCAGTCATGGAATCACTGTCCATGATCTTCAACCTGAGATCGTTAACGCCTTCAGAAACGTTGAATACAAAATTTTCGTTCCATTCTGGATTACTTCCTTTTCCTGCATGCATAATGTAATATATAATTATTATGAACAAACATACCAACCCTCATTGCTTTATGGTGAACGATCTAAACAGACGAAAGAAATAACATTTGATTTTGGGAACTGGGTAAATTCAATGATGTGTGATCAATTCATCATCATGATCTGATCTCCTGAAAATGCAAACTAGTAACTAAGGACATGCTTGGTTAAGAATTAACCCTAGTAGAAAATTTCCATAGAAACTTTCTACTAGATCCTTGATCCTTGATCATGCATGCAGAGAAGAGATGAATATACACATGTACCTGCTGCAACACTGCTTTTTTGCTCCTGAGTGCGACACATGAGGATCACATAAGGGTCCATTTTAGCTGCTCCATTAGATCGTGCATGTGTGTTAAAGGAAACAAATTATGAATTCAGATCAATAATAGATATCATAGATTTGTGTATGTAAATGACAACTTACACAGATAATCGGTGTTCTCAAGGCCTTTGGCATTAACAAGAAAAACTTCAAGGCTTCCCTGAGGCATCTTGAATGAAGAATGATGAAAGAGCTTTCAGAGAAACCTCTCAGAGAGGCAGAATTGGTTTTTATATTGTATGTTAGTTTTTCAGAGGAGTGAAACAACACAATCATCGCTTTCCCCGACAAATCTAAGCCATAACTATTTTTTACTATTTTCATTCTCTTCTTTTTCAAACAATTTGTTCAATATTTAATTTTTTTTTTTGTTTTTTAAATTACTTAAATACTTTTTTAAATAATGTTAAGATCTCTTTTCTTCTCAAATACTATTCCTATACAAAATATAAAGTTCTGAACTTGATTAAGAAAATTAAAATTTTCTTTACAACAACCTTTGACTTTCATCATGATGAACAGTTGCAATTTATCTCACTACGACAAAAAGAATGATAACTGATGACAACTCAAAAGTAATTTATGATTTAATTGATACGTGATAGTGTAAAATATTTTACACTAAAAATACATGGAATTGAGGAGCTTTATTCAAAAAAGATGGAGCATGATTTATTCTTTTTATTTATACATGCTAATCAAGGGCAAAAGACAACCCTATAGTTAGTGCCACCATTGCAGGTGAAGGTGTTGGTTGCATCATCTTTGGGATAACTTTAAGCATCGGGGCACCTATCCTTGAAGAATTTCGACAAGGTAGTTGCAGAACAGCTTCCAGAATTGCAACAGTACTCGTCGGTTTTGAAGACAGTGCAAGGGTTGTTGCAACCCCCTTGGGTCTTGAGCTCAGAGGGACACTGTCCGTTAATGTCTGCAGTTCATCTTATGCCATGTGTGCATCCATTCGACGTTGGACTAAACTCCATCAGAACGTTGAAACCGTCCACCAGGGATATGTCGAAGAAGTCCAAATTGTTGTACTGGTTCAGCCCGTATTCCGCTAGGGTGTTCGGAGGCGCACCGTATGCTGTGCACTCGAGCACACCACCGCAGTCACCGGTCTGGCATCCGCCGTGGCCGGACCCGTGAAAGCTGCATCCGGTTCGGGCCCAAATGCGGGCCCCTTTGGTTCCTGCGGCTACGTCCAAGGCCCATGACTGGCCCGAGTTTAGCATACTGCCGCCACCAGGCACAGCCGCGGCCCACAGAGGGTAAGAGCAACGATTCGTGATGTCGAACCTTGCAGCATGTGCAGAAATGAAGCATAGAGCGATGAGAAAGAACAGGGTCATTGTGCAAGTCATCGTTTTCGTTTGTGTGTTGCAGTAAATATGGTGTAGCAGGTGTTTTTATAGGACATTTCATTGCAAAAATTACAAACTCACACACACTCATTCGCGAAAATTCAAAACTTGAATTATAATTTTTATTCTAATTTTCTTTTGTATTAAATTAATTTATTAATAGATTAATTTTAATATAATTAATTTTTTAAAAATATTAATATATTTATGTTAAAATAAATAATTAAAAAAATATTAACATATTTTATCTAAATAAATAATTAAAAAATATTTAAATACAAATAAAAAGTTAAATATATAATTTTAAAATTTATATCATTAATAAAAAAATTATTCAAAATATAACTATTTTATATATAAATTATAAATATAGATATTCAATCCTAAAATATAGATTAAAAATTTAATCTTAATTAAATAATTTATTATTTAATTTAAAATTTAATTATTATTTTATAAGACGAATTATTCTATAATTTGATTTATTTATATATTTTTCATGTTAACTTATTTTTAAAAAGATTGTAAAAGAAAAAATTTCTTACATATTAAAATATTATTTTAATATAAATTTCACGCAAAAATTATTATGAACTTCATATTTATAAGTTATTTAAAATTAGATAAAACGATTTATATAAATGATGTTATTTTATTTTTAAAGTTTAAAAAATATTTGTTTTAGACAATTCTCTTTAAGATTTGTTTAGAACGTGAGATGGAAGAGCACGATTAATAATGAAGGAAAAATTAAAAATATTAGGAGGAAAAAAAGGTAGGAGTTAAAAAACCATGGACCCTATTGCTTTCACTATCTCGCATCATTTGTACGCGTAACAATCAAATGAGTTGAAAACCAAATATTTTTAACAAAAAATATTTGAAGTTTGAAGTTAGTTAAGTGAGCATATAAATTAATAAACGTGTTTTGAGCCATGACTTATCAAACTATTGACCAAGGATACAAATTTTCATGGACTAATTTCTTCATAAAATAACAATTATATATAGATACCTTATAATTAGGCATGAGAACGAGGTGGGGATGGATTTATCTTAATTTTTTTTCGTTTTTGTTTCCGATATCTGTTCGATTAAAAATTAAATTCTCATTGTTTCTACTGGTTTTCAAGTCTTTTTACTTCCGTCCGTTCGTTTTCTGTTTTATATTATTTTTTAAAAGATAATTATATTTATTATAAATTAATTTTATTATAATTTTTTATATATAAATAAAATTTTATAATTATTATTAATTAAATATATATTTTAATTTATTATATTTATATTAAAATATATATGTAAAAGAAATATTTTTATTTTTTATTTATATATATATATAGAATATTTATAATAATATTATTATTATAATATTGTATTCAAATATTTAAATACTTATAACATTATTATTATTATTACTAGTATATTATTGTATTCAAACATTTAATTATATATATATAAGTTAATTTATTTTAAGTTGTTATTTAAAAATATAAAATATATGATTTATAAAGAAATATTTAATAAGTTAATCATTTTTTAATTATTTTGAAATAATAAAAGTTTAAGTTATCAATTTTTTTAATCCTTTAAAATACAATTATTTTATTAAGTTAAAATTTGATATATGACAAATAAAAATAATAAGATAAAAAATATAATATAATAAAATCTAATAAATATAAATTATAAATAAAATAATATTAATTGCTACTAAGATTTATGTAAAATATTTAGAAAAAATAAAAAATAACTTTGTTTTCATCAAATTGATTGAAAAGATTGAAAAAAAAATTGATGAGAGAAATTAAGGAAATATGAAAAACTAAAAGGTAAGAGAGAATAATAAACTAATTGATATAAAAGATTAAAAAAGACAAAAAAAAATAAAGAAATAAGTAGAAAAAAAATAAAAATTGTGAAATATAAAAAAATGATCTTACATGTAATAGAAAAAAAAATTTTTTTTTAAATATTAATATTTTAAAATTTAAATTTAAATATAAAGTTAGACAATAACGAAAACGAAGTCGAAACGAAATTGCATTACTCATATCAACTTTTTTTTACTTAGAATTACAAAAACCATTAATATATTTAGTAAAAAAAAACACACACAGTATCTCACTTAGAATTACAAAAACCATTAATATATTTAGTAAAAAACACACACACACAGTATCTCACCTCCTACTATATCATATCGTCAAACATATTTATTCAAAATAATTAAAAACTAACATTACAATAGAAGAATATTCAACTATGCAGAAGAAAAGAAAAACCAACCAAGTGTTTTTATATATCTTAGACCAAAGTTTCAACCCTAATGATTAAAAAATACATATTACTTAGTAATCTTTCTACTATAATTAATTGATCAGAGTCTACTACAAATTATTATTTAATTGTAATCTAAATTTATGATAATAAAGCGCATAAAAACTGACTTAGTGACCGATCAAACAGAATCTATCGTTCATCATATTAACTGTGAATTAGAAAAAAAAAAGTTTTAAATTAAATTAAATATTTAGCAACTGAACTAATCCGTCGTTATTCTTTTAATTATACCACCAATTTAGAAACCAAATTAGCAACATCTTCCTATTGCTATTAGTCTATAAATTAAGCTATAATGAAAGGTTTGGTGACTATTTAAGATGGAGTAAAATATTAGTTGTTGACCATTTTATGATGAGATTTTTGGTAACACATAGAATTAGACGTTACTTCAGGTAAAATCAATTAACGATTGATTTTTTGATTGTTTATGCAACTATTTAACTTTCTAGTGTGCTTTGTTATTTTCGTATCTCTGAGATATCATTATTAGTGTGATTAGATATAAAATAATATTATAATATATAAGTAAATATAATTTTTTATTTTGTTGAATTAGTTTTATAAAATTAAGTTGATTATTTTATTATTTCTAAAAAATTTCAACGAAAATCAGCATAGAATAAGTTAACTCGGAGGGATGAAACAAACTATTATTATTCCACAAGTCTGAATTCTGAAGCTCTGAACATGCAAACAAAACTATACCCAGTTCCTTATCTAACTTATTTTCATCACTGGAAGAAGCTTGCGTTCACGGAACAACATCTATGGAACATACCTGATATAACACACTTTATCAATCCCACATTTGATTAATAGAAAATCTACTTCAAATTCAATTTAAAGTTCAAATCACATATTAATATAAATAAATAAATAAAATAATATCTTTTAAATTTTAAAATTTATGATTCACCGTGTTTCATAAATATGTCAGTGATATTGTACCTTCAAAATAGTGAATAGTTTGAAAGAAGTATTGGTTGAAAGTGATGAGAAATAAGTTTGGATTGTTGATTACGTGTTGGCAAATTCAATAAAGAGTAGTGATATTTTGAGAATTAAAAATTATATAACTCTTTAAATAATTTATTTTTATTAATATAATAATCTATAAACGGATTTAAAAATAATAAAAATAAAATAAAATTATTATTATAATATTAAAATAGAGTTGTTTAAAAAATGGTATGAATTTGAGTTGTGAAAGTATATTTTGGTTCAACAAATTATGGCTTGACTTGCGTGTCAATCAATTGCTCCACTCCGTTAACACGTCCCTCTATTCTGCTGCTATTCTTTCATGCGATTACTTCGTTCTAAGCAAATTCTCTTTATATATATTTTTTAATAACTTTATTATCTGTTTTTCATTTACAATTATATTTACTTATTTTGTATTTAGAATAGGATGCATGATGTTACATAACTATATAAAATTAAAAGATTAAAAAATAAAATTATAAATATGTAAATAAATATATTTTATGATTATTAAATTTTAAAATTAAAATCACAAATATATTAAAATTATAAAATTTTGAAAATAATAACCCGAGAGTTTCCAAATATATATATATATATATATATATATATATATTTATTTGTTATTATATACGTGGATTTGTATAATAATAAAAAATAAAAAATTTGTTACGTAATAGATAATTATTATATCATTTTTTAAAATTATAATTTATACAAATTAAATAAAGTATAATAATATCTAAAAAAATAAAATTTATTTATATCTATTTTTTAATAAATTTAATTATTGATTTTATACATTTTTTTAAATATTTATTTTAAATATGAGTTCCACATTATTATGTTATATTTTTAATTAAATTTAATTTTAAATAAAACTAAAATAATAATTTTATTATTAATAATAATCTAAAAATAATAAATAATGATAATACTAAATAAATTTAAACAGAAAATACATAAAAATATACAAAAAAAAGACTGAATAATAAAAAATTATAAATAATTTATTAATTTAAATATTTAAAAAAATAAAAATTACGATCAGCCACATTCACTCCTAATTTAGACAACTAAATCTTAAATTAATATATATTACATTATAGTAGTGTTTTCAATTTTAATTAAATTTAAAAAATGTTAAATAAAAGAGTTATATATATATATATATATATATATATATATACTATATGTTAAAACTAACAATTTTTATTATTTCAGCAAAGATTAAAAGTACACACGTGAGAAATAGTTGAATATTCAGATTAGTTAATTAAATTAAGGGATTAAAACTTAGTAAACATTTTATAGAGTTCAGAACTATAGAGTTATTTTCAGATATAAATCTATATTTACTCCTAAACTTTGACACTATTGTAATTATTAGTAAATACAGACCTAATGACTGGTATTTTATTGTTATAATATAAGACTAAATTAAAATTATATTTTAAAAATGTTATATAAATTATCTAATAATTGAGCTCATTTTGTCAAAATTTAAATTTATAAATAAACATTAAATTTAAATGAACAGTAAGTGAATTTAATAATAATAAAAAAATAAAATAAAAACTTAAGAATATGTGGTTTGTTTGATTGGAGGAAGACAGAAGGATGTGAAGGAAGAAAATAAATGTGGTGTGTTTGGTTACAATAAAATGAGAGAAATTGATTTTTTTAGAATGATGGAACTCACTTGTGAAATTTATCACTTACTTTGATTCACTTTTCTATTTTTTATTTTCTATGAAATCAATTAATACAGAATTTATAAAAAAAATGATCAACTTTTGCTTTACCAAATAATTAAATTTAGTTTTACTATTTTTTTATCAACTTATTTATTTTCCATCTTCATTCCCTTCTATTCCACCAAGTGTATCATTTGTGAAATATATGAAATTAGGTGGAACACTCATCTTAACAATTTTAATATTTTAGTGAATTTTTGTGTAGCATGTTTAAACTTATATGATATTTTAAATTATGATTGTACTCTCAAAATAATGAATTAAGTTTTCAATGATATGAAAGATAATTTTTCTCAACCTATAAAATTATAAATATTAATTGATAACTCATCTTTATTTACCAAAATTAATAACCGAATATTGAAACACTCAAATTCAGATTTTATTAATAATGATTATATATATATATATATATATATATATATATTATAAATAATAGTGATACATTTTTACAATATATGTGATTGATTTGATTCCATTAAAAAAATGATAAATATAAAAATAAATAAAATGTGATTTAGTTTAATTTAATAAAAATTCCAAATAAATTTTTTTTATTTAAATTGATTTCTTTTTTATTATTATAAAATTATTAAATAATTTAAAAAAATAGGAAATATTATTCACATCCAAAATTTTGTTAAAAAAATAAATTAATTAGAAATGTCAATATTGATTAAATTAAAAAAAATTATTACTCAGATCTATTTTAATTCTGATTATTTAATTCATAATTTATATGAATTCAGGTTATTCTTTCAATTTTATAAAATAATAATTATTCCTTTAAATATATATATATATATATATATATATATATTTTATTAAACATACACATATACAATAAGTTGACAAATAATTTACTCATTCTAAAAATAAATATAGGATGATAAATCTTTAATCATTATTTATTATAAGGGTTAAGATTAATTATTAATTTAATTAATAAATAACTAATAAATAAATAAATAAATAATAATAAATAATAAACTTTTAATTATTATTTTGACATTAATAAAATTATTTTCTTATAATTTATGTTAAATCATTATATTTTAAATAAAAATTAATTTTATTGTCAAAAATTTAAATAAATTTTAACTTTTTATTTAAATAATTATTTTTGTATAAATATGTTAATTTTTAAAAAATTTAATCAGGTCAAAATTGGTTTATTTACTCTTTAACCTAATATGGATTAGATTATAAATTTTAACTATTTTAAAATATAAAATAGATTGAACAATTACTTTTTTCTTTTTTTATCCGTACCAATTTATACTATATTAGACCGCTTGATTTGATAACAATTAATTAATAACTATTTTTTAACTAAAATTAATAAAAAATCTTATAAGATCATGGTCTTATTAATATAAATTTTCTTAAATAATAAATTTACAAAAGACAAATTAATAACTAAACTTCTTTTTACCAAAATTAATAACCAATCCTTATAAAAATATTGTTAATTAATAATGACCATTTTTGTTAATATACTGATGTATAATAGAGTAGTCAATCACCAATAATTTTTTCTGACCAAAATTAATAACTAATTGAAAAAACATAGAGTAAGTTTTTACCAGTTTAATAATAAACATATTTATAACATAATGAATAATTATTTTTTTTAACCAAATACAGTAAATGGAACATAATATTACCGAGAAGAAGAGGAGATGAGGATGAGATGAGACGAGACAAGTGAGTATATCCAAACCAAACTGGAAAGATTGGGTGATCATCACGCGCAGTAGCGACGTTGCGTGTCGAACCAATTCAAACATACGTGGGGCCCACGCGCAGAACAAAAACAAAACATGAACACTGAATAATAATTATTAATTAACTAATTAATCAGTTAATAAAAAAAGTGAGAGATGCGCGCGAAGCTAACAAATCGAAACGGATTAAAGGGAAAGGGAAAGGGAAAGGAACTAAACTAAACATTCCCGATATATTGTGATGCTGATTATCAAAAATCTCATTCCGTTTTCTCTCTCACTTGCTCCATAAATTCTCACGCACCTCCCACTTTTCTCTCTCACACTCTCCATCATCTCCAAAATGGTGTCCCCCTCCCAAAGGATTCTGGTCACCGGTGGTGCCGGTTTCATAGGCACCCACACCGTCGTTCAACTCCTCAATGGAGGCTTCACTGTTTCAATAATCGACAATTTCGACAATTCCGTCATGGAAGCGGTCGACCGGGTACGTGAAGTTGTGGGTCCTCATCTGTCACAGAACCTAGAGTTCACCCAGGTCTGCACTTTCTCTCTCTTCCTTTTTCACTTCACTTTCCATATCGCAAATTCACTCCTCTTCTTATGGCAGGGCGATCTCAGGAATAGGGATGACTTGGAGAGACTCTTTTCTAGAACAACGTATGGTCAATATTGCGGCTTCTGGTTTTCCTTTTTAGTATTTTTTCTACGTTTTGTTAATGTTGCCGTTAATGAGATAATATACTGAAACAGATTCGATGCTGTAATCCACTTTGCTGGCCTGAAGGCAGTTGCGGAAAGCGTGGCGAAGCCGCGTCGCTATTTTGATTTCAATTTGGTCGGCACCATCAATCTCTACGAAGTCATGGCCAAGTATAACTGTAAAAAGGTTCTCACTTGACCGACATTTTTTAACCTCGCCCTAATTTATAACTCTGCTATCACAACCTTTTATAAATTTGACATGTTAGATTGAATTTTCATAGCATATAGTTAAAAATCGACATGTTTGCTGAGTGTTTTTATAGGTTTTATAAAATTAGATTTAGAGTGAGCTTATATTATGAATAAGCTACTTTGGAGAAATTTGTGGTATTATTTCTTTTAATTTTTTTTAACTTTATCTATAATCTAATTTTACTTTATGAAAAAAAGAGGTTCTGTTATTTTCTTCTTTGGGACAATAATTGTTTTTACTTTCATGTCATTTTTGGGAGGATTTTTTTATGCTTTACGTTTTGTTCTAAACAAGGAAACAGCATCAGATTCTTGTCTTTTTCTTTTCTCTTTTCTCTTTTGTGATGGTGTAGAATATTACTTGACATGATTAAGTTTCTGCGTAGATGGTTTTTTCATCATCTGCTACCGTTTATGGCCAACCTGAAAAGATACCATGTGAGGAGGATTTCAAGTTGCAAGCTATGAATCCCTATGGACGGACCAAGGTAACCTTCACTTTTGTTCTGAGTTGCCTTTTACTTTTGCATTTTTCCCTTTTTGTTGTTGGCAGCTTATGGTTTCTAAGTTATCGATAATAAGTATTTAAAGGAAAAGGATATTAAAAAAGATAGAATGAATTAAACTTTTTTTCAGAATGAGCTAATTTTAAAAACTTTCTTGTTTGGCATTTTTAAAAACTAATTTTAACTTCTCTATACTTTAATTACTACTTACACTGTGAAGAAAAATATTATGATTATTTTCTTATTTTCTTGTGAAAGTTGTTGACAAATTTTATCCAAACAATGCCTAATTTGATAGTTTACCATCACTTTTGTCTAAACTTGTTTGTTGATTTGTAAGCTTGTAATACCTATTTTTGGGACTAGTGGCTTGTCTCTCGCTCTGACACTTCAATTCATTGAAGCTTTTCCTTGAAGAAATTGCCCGAGATATTCAGAAAGCTGAGCCAGAATGGAAGATCATATTACTGAGATACTTCAATCCAGTTGGGGCTCATGAAAGTGGTAAACTCGGTGAAGATCCCAAGGGCATCCCGAATAATCTCATGCCTTACATTCAGCAAGTAGCTGTTGGAAGGTTGCCTGAACTCAATGTATACGGTCATGATTATCCAACAAGGGATGGCTCTGCGGTTCGTAAAATCCACCAATTCATTTGTTCTTTTTTTTTGTACACCATTTACACCTGCAGGACAGGACAGGCCATTAGGAAAAAAGTGAGACTGACAGGTGGACAAAATGAATAACAGCATAGACATATTTTTTAGGCCCTGCAAAATTCTAATCCTCCTTTCTTTTTCCTTATTCAAAATAAGATCCGGGACTATATCCATGTGATGGACTTGGCTGATGGTCATATTGCTGCATTGAGAAAACTCTTCACATCGGAGAACATAGGTGAATTGTTCTTTTTCTTCCCTTGTATATATCTCTACATGGACAAATTTGTGTGTCATTGTATGAGCCTTATGATATTTATAGGCTGATTGGTTTTTTCAGTATGCTAAAGTAAAAGGTGATATATTTTTGTTCAGGTTGTACTGCTTATAACCTGGGAACTGGTCGTGGAACATCTGTGCTTGAAATGGTTGCAGCATTTGAAAAGGTTTCTGGCAAGGTAATTATGCATCTTCCTGATATACACACGGAATGAAAGTTGTTGAATGGTGTAAGAATTTTAAATTTGATATCATGTAAATCAATCACTTTTCGTACCAAAAACATAAATATTTGCGTCCGAAGACTTCTCATTTTTCCATTGGATATGAAATCTTTAGAAAATTCCAGTAAAACTATGTCCAAGAAGACCAGGAGATGCTACGGAGGTTTATGCATCTACGCAGAGGGCTGAGAAAGAACTTGGTTGGAAGTAAGTAGTCCTTTGTATGGTTAAAATGGTAATCATTTGAGTTTTTGACAAGCAGATTTTGTTGCCTGAAAAATCAAGATTCTCAAATTTCAAATTCTAGCATACTATGCTTCATTCATCAAACTTGTATATTTGATAAACAAATTTTAGGGATCTTCCATTTTACGCTGTATTAATTTGGCTCTTCTTTCAGGGCAAAATATGGTGTGGAGGAGATGTGCATGGACCAGTGGAATTGGGCAAAGAACAATCCCTGGGGTTACACGGGGAAGCCTTGAATTAGCTTGACGAATGTTACTGCTCATCTATGAATGTTTTCCTCACAAATAGTCATCATGGGTTTATATAATACTTATATGTTGGACGATTTGTTTAGTCAGTTCAATGTATAATCTTTGAGAATAAAAATTTGGCAGCATTTCAACAGCTGAATTTTAACAATATTTTTAAATCATACGAGCAATTGATTTGCTACTGGGAAAATATAAATAACGAATTACATAACTTACTTGAATTCAATTGAAGTATATCTATTGTTGATATTATATTTAAATTTAATGAAGTGAAATTATATTTTATTATTATTATTATTACGAAGATGATGTTGTTGGGATGACTTAAAACTTGATTTAAACTAACTTAACAACTCACTTTTTAAAAGAAATCACATCAAAGGTCCTTTAGGATTATGTGCCAAATGTTTGAATAAGCAAAATTGGGATAAAGAATGATCATAGTTCTTAAAGTTGCACTGTTTAAGGTTTATTGGAGTTTAATTGAAAATTAATTCGAAGTTAAACGGAATTTAATAAAATAATATATTTTAATAATATAATAATATATTGAAATTAAAATACATTTATTATAATATAATAATAATTTTAATTTAATATAAATGTTATTTTAAAAAATATTATATAATAATAAAAATAATTTTTAAACACTTGGAACAGAAAGTAATTAAAGAAAAGATTGTGGTTGTACTTAATTTTAAAATAATTAGGACAAAAGAAACTATGACCAACTTAGAAATAATTAAGGAGAAAAATTGTACCTTATTTTTCATTATCTCTAACTTTAATTTTATATATTAACTTCAAATATTTTATACATTTTATTTTATTTTAAGGCATGGTTATGAAACACAATGATAACTCACTTCGCATTTAATAAATTAATTTTTGAAATTAAAAGATTGTAATTCTTACATGTTATTGTATTTTCATGAATGATTATAATAATGATAATAGTAGACAACGACAACAACAAGAACGACATTGAAAAAAGACAACAAAGATAATGGATAACTATGACGATGAAAATTATAAAAATGAAGACGGTAGTAAAAGAAAAATATTACCACCGGTAGAAAAATAACTTTTTCTCTTCATGTTTGTGTGTCTCTATATTAAACTAAAGAAATACAACAATATAAGACAAAACGACGGGATTTAACTCTTAAAAAAAATAATGACCCATCCGATTTCACCGATTTTTGATTGATTTATTATTTATTATATTTTTAAGGAAATCTAGACCCATTATTGCACTGATTTTTGGTCCAACCGGTTGAACCAACGGGTTCAATCCGATTTTGATAACCATGAAAATGACATATAAATGAGAGAAATATAAATATAAAGAAAAATATCGAATTGGATCACTTTTTTCCTATTAGTCTAGGTCCATCTAAATAGTATTGATATATTTTGTTGAAAAACTACAAATGAAAAAATGCATCAGTATTATTTATGTTTAATTAATCAAGTTATAAAGGTGTAACCTTTCACTAGTGTAGAATGAGTTTTTTACGTCACCTAATTAATGTCGGATCAAAAAATAACTGACTTAAAAATAACGCGATGATAATTTTGTAAATAGTGGGCGTGAATTTTACGTTGGACCTAGAAGAGACCAACGTAAAAGTCGCTTTTTACGTTGAACCACATTCACTTGACGTAAAAAACGATTTTTACGTCAGTCTCTTCTAGGTCTGACGTAAAAGTATTAGTGTAGAAAGGACAATTTTGTAAATATGGGGCGAAACTTTTACCTTAGACCCATAAATGACCGACGTAAAAGTTGTGTTTTATTATTCCTGCATCACTCCTCGTTTCGCGCAGCAAGAGTTTTTGAGAATGACAATGACGTTTTCCACACCTTCTATTGTATGTTTCGACCATTTTGACTAAGAAAAACATCAACATTGTGTCCCATATTTTGATTTTGACGTTTCTCTCCGATTGGATTCGAGTTTTAAATCGTTTTTGTGTATACTCGAGGTTAGTGTTCTATGTCTCCCGTTATATGTTCAAATTGAATTTGTGATTGTTTTTTGGGATCTCAATCGCGTTACTGCATGAATGTCTCCACTGGATTATTATTGAAATGTCATTATCTATTTATTCGTTTGAGTGCATTTTCGGTTTACACACTGCATTTATGTCTCAATCACTTTCTTTGTTGTTTGTATATTGATTTTTTTTAAATATAAATTTTGAATCTCTAAAAGTGATGAAAATTTATAACATAGGTAGATATGAATCGAAGTTGGATGAATGAACGTCGTATTAGTGAAGAGTACGAAAAGGAGGTTGAAGAATTTTTAAAATAACTTTTAGCTAGTCTTATGAGACTAACTTTGCTTTATATAATACAATAACTTTCCCTATCAGCTGTAACTAGAGAAGAAAGAATAAGTCCTATAACTACGGGCTTTGGTTCAAGTTCTATCAGCTGTGAACACGTGAAGTTGGCTGTACAGCCCGTGACCTCTGCATGTACAGCCCGTGACCTTTGTTCATGACTTACCTCCTTCTCTCGTGTTATTCATGCATGTTCTTCTGCTCCAAGGTCAGGTGCATCCAAAGGAGGAAATTTTTTCTACAGTGGCACGTATTTATTTTTTAATTACTCAAATAGCATACTGTACGTTTTATTTATTAATATACCACGGTTTTTTGTTAAGTTGAGAATTCGATTTTCTGAGAGACGAAATCTGAACGTAGATTTGTATTTTTTTTTGTTTAAACCAGGTTAAAATTCGATCTTTCGACAACCGAATTGTGAACTAGTTTTTTTTTCTTTTTTGTTAAAAAAGCAAAACTAACTAATATATATATATATATATATATATATATATATATATATATGTTATAATGTTTTATTTAAAATTTACAAAATCAAAATAAAATTTTAAAAAGATTTATTGTTGAAAATAGTAAAATAATACTTTTAAAATATATTATTAAATATTATATTTATATTTTATTTGTATGGTTACTTTTTTTTAATTTTTTAATTTATTTGCTATTATAATATTTTTTTAGAAATGAATAATAAACTAGGAGGATAATAAAAATCTTAAAAATTATATGTATATAAGATGAAGTAATATTTTGATGTAAAATTATATTTTTGAAATGTATTTTTTTTCTTATGTTTTTGTAATATTTTGAATGATATATATATATATATATATATATATATATATATTAAATATAATTTATAAGATTAAAAAAATCATATTTATAATTATAACTTTAAAAAAAATGATAACTATAAAATTAATGTTAAATAAATTATATATATTATATAAATTATAATTATATATAGATATATTACTTAAATTAAAAACCTTAAATTAATTATATATATATATATATAAATGTATATTTTTTAAATTAATAATATATTTAGATTAATTGTTGAAAGTAGTAAAATAATACTTTTAAAACATATTATTAAATATTATATTTATATTTTATTTGTATGGTTAATTTTTTTAATTTTTTAATTTATTTGATATTATAATATTTTTTTAGAAATGAATAATAAACTAGGAGGATAATAAAAATCTTAAAATATATATATATATATATATATATATATATATATAAAAGATAAAATAATATTTTGATGTAAAGTTATATTTTTGAAATGTAATTTTTTTTTTGTGTTTTGTAATATTTTGAAAGTATGTTTAAGATAACGGTTCTAGAACTAACCGTAATTAAAAATATATTTTAGATAGCGGTTAACGTGTAATCGCTTATTATATGTTAAATTTTAAGAGCGGTTAAAATATTAATCACTCTTAAAAGTGACACATATATGATAGCGGTTTCACTTTAACTGCTCTTAAATATGAACTACTACAAGAAAATCGCCTATTACAGATCGGATATTTACCGACGGAATTGTAGCCGTTGGAAAATAATCATTACCGACGGAAATTACCGACGGATATAAAATATTTGTGAAATTTGATGTTACCGACGGATATATTCGTCGGTAAAATAATAATTAGTTACACGACGGATATATCCGTCGATAAACCCGTCGGTAATTTATAGATGAATTTACCGACGGATATATCCGTCGGTAAATCCGTCGATAAATTAACAAGTAATTATCGACGGATATATCCGTCGGTAAATTCATATGTAAATTAAAAATTATTTACCGAACGGATAAATCCGTCGGTAAAATTATATAATATAATTTAATTATTCACTAATTAAAAAATAAAATATTTTTTATTTAATAATTTAATTTAATCATAATTAGATTAATTTATAATAATTTATTAAATTAAGTAATTTTAAAAATAAATATTTAATTATATATAAATATATATAAATATATATATATATATATAAATATATAAAAATATAAAAATATAAAAATATATAATATAAAAATATATAAATATAAAATATAAAATATATAAATATATAAATATATAAATATATAAATATATAAATATATATATAAATATAAAAATATATATAAATATATATAAATATATATAAATATATAAAAATATATAAATATATAAAAATATATAAATATATATATATATATATATATATATAAATATATAAAAATATAAAAATATAAAAATATAAAAATATAAAAATATATAATATATAAATATATAAATATATAAATATATATATAAATATATAAAATATATATAAATATATATAAATATATATAAATATATATAAATATATATAAATATATATAAATATATATATATATATATATATATATATATATATATATATATATATAAATGTATATAAATATATATAAATGTATATAAATATATATAAATATATATAAATATATATAAATATATATAAATATATATAAATATATATAAATATATATATAAATATATAAATATATATATATATATAAATATATATATATATATATATATATATATAAATGTATATAAATATATATAAATATATATAAATATATATAA